CCATCTTTACCACATCATCATCATTAGGTACCACCATCTTCACTACCACCATCATCATCACTACCACCATCTTCACCCCCACCATCATCATTACTAGGTACCACCATCTTTACCACATCATCATTATTAGGTACCACCATCTTCACCACCATCATCATCATCACTGCCACCATCTTCACCATCATCATTACTAGGTACCACCATCTTTACCACATCATCATTATTAGGTACCACCATCTTCACCACCATCATCATCACTGCCACCATCTTCACCATCATCATTACTAGGTACCACCATCTTTACCACATCATTACCACATCATCATCATTAGGTACCACCATCTTCACCACCACCATCATCATCACTAACATCATCGCAGGGCTTTCAAATTAAGCTGCCAGAGTTCCTGCGGGTGGTGCCACAAGGTTAACCAAACGGTTACTTTGTTTAGTGCTTGAAATATCAATTCTGCTCTCCTTCCTCCATTCTAAGCCTTTAAGTTATTTTTCATCAACCTGGTCTAATTTATAGCCTGTTTATTTTCGAAACGACGTACTTATCTTGTTAAAGAATGAAAGTAGTGATACATTATAATTTGGTCACAGAGCTCAGTTGTGTTGCTATCTAATCAATATACACTAGTTAATTTGGATGACTAAGACTATCTATACCGCCCTGTCCTAACAGCCGCCTACTTTATCAAAACCGGCACCTACTCAAAATAATTCCAAAAGCCCTGAGTGATGATGATGGTGGTGAAGACGGAGTACCTACGACCATCTTCATGATAATCACTCTTCTACTACCATGAAATGTTACTATAATCATCATGAGTACTGCCATTATGTTTACAGTCATAATATCTTCAAGATCAAAGTCTGTCAGTGTGTTTACACTGCACCACCATTGTGTTTCAGTAACAACTGTCATAACACAGACCTATATTACATATGTTCAGAAACAAGAACACCAAGCAAGTCGCTAACAGTTGCACCAGGACATAGAAAAAGTCTTTCTGGCTCCGGCCTGGAAAATCTTACTCCTAACAGACAGATGTTATGCTTATCACGACAAGAAGGTATAAACAATATTTACGACGTTTCACGTTTTAATAGCAAACTGCCAGAACTCTGTAGTACAAAGATAAGTTTAGTTCCCTCATGTTAGTAACACTGGATCAATACGAGGTGGCCCTTACTGGATCTCTAGAGAGAACAGTTTAGGACTAATAGACTATCCAGTATAAATAAAGTTAGTTTGGCTTAGGTTTCCTCTTGTAGTAACCCTGGATCAATAAGAGATTATCCTTACTGGATCTCTAGAGGGAACAGTTTAGAACTAATAGAATTATCCAGTATTTATAAAGTTAGTTGAGTGCAGATTTCCTCGTGTAGTAATACTGGATCAATGCGAGGTGGCCCACTGGCCCTTACTGCGCCTCTGGGGAAAACAGTTTAGAACTGACAGAACCATTCAGCGTTTAAATAAAGTTTTTTTCAGGAGGCGTTTGGGTTCCTCCTGCAGTAACACTGGTGCCTGCCACTACTCTGCTACTGTACGTGCATGAGTACTTCTAGTTCAGAGAGAACAGTTTAGAACTAAAGGAGCTATCCAATAGAAATAAAAGTAGTTTAGTAACTTGGCTCTCAAGTCTTAATATATCGATCAGTGAACCTTCTGACAAAATGTTCGATGAATTTGGGTCGGATATATGTATTGTGATGTCCGATGACTTTGAGTTCAGTTTGACTTTGAAATAAGAATAAGACCCAAATTAATGTCAGCACAATTTGGAAAAGTCATTTGAATCTTGACAATGAATTTCCGAACCCCACGGTGAAAACCCTGCACTTGATTACACATTTCCAGTTAACGTTTTAACATAAGGACTAGGGTACATTTTGTCATTTTGATTTACTTTGGACAAAGGTACAGTTGGGTCGGACACCAATTCACTCAGGTTAGACGAACAATACACCTCAATTTCACTTAGTTGGGATAATTTCACGAATGGTCGAGCGATATTTTAAGGCCTGGATTCTTACATTTCTCATTTTGTTTTTTAGGGAAAGCATACAAGGAAACAAAACATGCTCTGCATTCATCGATTCCATCGAATCTTCTCTGCCGAGAAATTGAAACAAAACAGATTGAGACATTCCTAAAGGCTCACCTTCTTCGTCGGAAGGCTGGCAGTCTGTACATCTCGGGAGCTCCGGGCACGGGAAAAACCGCTTGTCTGACGCACATACTAGAAACTTTACAGGTATTGAAATTTTACAGGTGTTGAAACAATCACTATTTCATACCAGAAAATTCACAGGTATTGAAACAGTCACTATGGCTACAGACCTTGCCTAGAAGCGTGGCGTATACATATGAGTAATCATGCTTTGAATAGGGATGACGGTACCTACAGGCTACAGTATTTGCCAGAGGAGTACATGCATCTTGTTGGAAGATGTCATCAATTGGGTATATAAGAAGCCACATTGCAACTTGAGGTCACCCCTGATGAAGACACTAGACTGGAATGTCAAAACATTGTGTCTTGATTACAATTTGACTGGACTTTATATTCATTTACATAAACCAGAGTAGCAAGCGAAAACATGGTTGATATACCATGGTTGATATACCGTAAAAAGGTTTAATCTGTTCTGCCTTTACCTCGTAGTTCAGTTGGTAGAGTATTGGACTAGCAAACTAAAGGTTACGAGATCGATTCCAAACGCGGTCAAGCAACGATTTCAGCTTGCCCGGGGGACACACACTCGGAGACGACATTGACAAACGTTGTAAATATGTTCAAAAACTCCTATAAAACTACGAATGTGGACCTCACATGTCTGACCTCACAATTAAAAAAAAAGAAACTTAAATTTATAAATACTAAACTTTAATGTGGGTTATACAAAAAACGGTCTATTTAGAAAGATTGAATACAATAATACTAGGTTGAATATAATAATATACGTCCTTTAACGATGTATTTTTTCTCTCAATTCAGAAAGACGGAGTCGAATGCCATGTCCAGTTTATTAATTGTATGACCCTAAGCGCATCGCATCGTATATACTCCAAAATTGCTGAAGAATTAATGGGCTGGGATAAACTGACCAACAATGAAGCTCAGAAATTTTTAGAAAAGAAATTTACGACCAAAGGATCACCAATGTGAGTAGCAGTTTTTCAAGTGATATTCGCTTGGTTTTCTATAGTCAACGCCACCATCATCAATATCACCATCATCACTACCAATATATCATTACCACTCATCATCATCACCATCATAATCATCAAATCAACACTATAATCTTCATCACTATCATAATCATCACTATAATCATCATCACTATAATCACTATCATTATCATCACTATCATTATCATCACTATCATTATCATCACTATCATCATTAACACTATAATCATCATCACTGTCATCATCATTATCATCATCATCACTAATCATCATCACTATCGTAATCATTACTATAATCATCATCACTATAATCACTATCGTCATTATCACTATCATCATTATCACTATCATCACCATATTCATCATCACCATATTCATCATCACTTTATTCATCATCATAATCATTGACACTATAATCATCATCACTATCATCATCACTGTAATCATCATCACTATCGTAATCATCACTATCATCATCATAACTATCATCACGAATGTACATCTTATTCACAGGGTCCTGGTCTTGGATGAAATTGATCAACTTGAAAGCAAAAATCAAGGTGTCCTTTACACAATGTTCGAATGGCCTTCGCTTCCTTCATCTCGATTAATTCTTATTGGTACGTCCAGTATTATCAAATATGATCTTGGGGTTTTCTTCGCATCTGGTTTGCAGCCATGGTGTCAAAACTGGTCGTCCAAAAAGTGGTCGTGATAAAAAAAAAACATGGCGCTTGAAATCAGTTGTCATATGCTCATAATTCAGTGTTTTTTCGACAAATCGAATCGTATCTGCAAAACAGCAGTTGACAACTTTTGAAGTATTTAAAAAAAAAACATCGCAAAGATTACGAGTTACTATTTAAAGAGAACATTTTCTAGGCCATCTAAATTCAAAAGTGGCCATTCATAGGACGATTGGACGGCCATCTGCTAAATGCCTGCCCCGCATATTCTGGCTATTCTGCAGTAACAGACAAATTGGGGGGTGGTCCTCACTGGACTTTAGAGAGAAATGTTAGAGGTATCCTCGTGCTATAAACGAAAGGTGTAACAATATGTTTTGATCATTTTAGGAATCGCCAATGCCTTGGATTTGACTGACAGAGTACTACCAAGACTGCAATTGAGACCAGAATGTAAGTTGATTTTTTGAAGTGTTGTTCACATCATAACTATACCCCCCCAAAAGCTCAGAGTCCACAAACATACAAAAGCTTGTTTTTAAATTTGTATATCTTTGCTAATTTTCCAGGTAAACCGAAGTTGCTGCATTTTTCACCGTACTCCAAAGACCAAATTGTTAAGATTCTTACGGCAAGATTGAGCGAGGTATGTTACACGACATGTTTACCTGGACTCTTGCTTAAACCTGGCATAGATGACTAGTCAACACTAAAAATAAGGCTAAAATAGTCAAATTTAAAAGTTATTTTGAGTCGCACACCAGTCTGAGTATGACTTCGGAGTCTATTCACGTCTTCAGGCAGTGGAGAAGATATCCATGATTTGGTTGGAAAATGTTTGATGTCCACAGGGGCGTGGCTAGAGGGTTGTGTGTGGGGTATGTGTAACACCATTCATCACGGACTCGGCAAATGTTTGCTAGACTCGGCAAATTGGTTTCGGATTTATCGGCAATTTGTTTTCGTAGTCTGCGAAAATTTTTGAGTGGTTCGGGATAAAGCGTAATAGTTATAGCAAACATTTCCCTAAATTTACGAAAATTACGGGAAAAAGTTAAGAAATTACGATACATTAATTAATGGAAGTTTTTGAAAAATGATATGTCCGGGAAAATTTTGGACCTTCCTCCTTCCTCCTTCCCCTGGATGCCCGACAATTATTTCCGGCTCTGAAACACAATACATTTTCGAAAGGTTTGCCATGCCTCTACAGGCATGTATCGAAATTATAACCAGGTAACTAAAACCATTCATTGCCGTGAATACTTCCAAAAAGACAGCATTTTGTACTACTAAATAGTAACGACCTGCTATTGTTTCGTGTAGGTCGAAGGCTCCAGTGTCGTGGATATAAGCGCAGTTCAGTTCTGTGCTCGTAAGATCGCCGCAGTATCGGGTGACATGCGCAAAGCTCTCGATATCTGCCGGAGAGCCGTTGAAGTCGTCGAGACGGATGCGAAAAGACAACAGGTCTTAAAACCTATCGATCCCAGTAAGTAGTTTTATTATTAATTTTAAATTCATGGTTTCTGATTGGCTGGCTAACAGCCAACTGTGAAATCGTCATCTCATCTCAGTAGCTGACCAAGTTTGCAGTTTTGGTTATCGTTCCAGGGTGAGGTTTAAGGTTAGTGTTAGAGTGTATATATGTATATTTCAGAACCATCCTCGGAGATACGAAAAACTAGTTTCATATTAATCTGACACTGCAATCGAGCAACGAAAAATTCGTTGGCTCGAGCGGGATTTGAACTCCCATCATCGGGTATCTAGACCGCCGCTCTATACCTATTGAGCTATCGAGTCAACAGGGATTGGTAGCGAGTCTTATCCAATTTAAGTGCACGAAATATTTTCGTGATATATACGGAGGTATCCAGTTGACTTTTCAGTACCCTATAATATCCATTACATAACGTTTACTATATTGGTGCGCCAAACATGGGTACATCCTCGGGTAGAAGAATTTGCATCACAGACTACGTCATCAGTTAGTTATAGCGATTAGTTTTGAGGTTAGGGTAAGGGTTAGGGTTAGGGTGAGGGTTAGGGTAAGGATTAGGCTTAGAGATAGGGATTTGGTTATATCTGACGCCACAAACAACACAACTAGCCGATCACGTGATCACTTCTCCTCTACCCGAGGAACTACCCCGAAACATGGAACGCCCGCAGTTTTGACATAATATTCAACCGGGTGACGTCATAACGTTGATATGAAAGATTTTCTGCAAATTGGCACCGAAATTACTTTATTATTCAGTCGAATAGCACTCATTTCTCTTCCATTATTGACCATTCTGCCACAATCTGTGTTCAGGTCTCTCGCCAAAGAAATCTGGAGTGAAGAAAGTAACGATCGCACATGTTTCTAAAGTGATATCAGAGGTGTACGGTTCTCGCATTGTGAACTCCTGTGGCGGAGAGCAACCCACCATACCTCTACAACAGAAACTCTTGATCTGTACCATATTACTGATGCAGAAAGAAAGTAAACTACGCGAGATTCCAGTTGGACAGGTAAGCATTTACTAAGCAAACCATTTGAGATTCAGGCTCTATGACGTTCAATATTGTTCAATATCATGTTCAAAAAGACCATGTGGGATAAAGCCTTCATATCGTCAAACCCGCTTGACCAAGATCCCACATGTAAAAACGCACAAGTTGTAGCAAACCTGCAGCAGACTTGTAGCAGTGCTGTTCCAAACAACTTGTCAACTGGGTGTGTTCGCATTGCTTGTTCCCAGCTTGTTGACAAGTTGTCAGCGACTTGTTGACAACTTGCTACAAGGTTGTTGAACTCAACAGACTTGTTACAAGTTGTTCCGATAACTTGTTATCGTCCTGCAATTCAACAAGTTGTGAGTGGCAACCGTGTAACAACGTGATAAAGTAACGGCATTGTCACAACTTGTTGACAACCTTGCTATAAGCCTGTTGCGAACACATCTTGTTGACAAGTTGTTACTCAGATCTGGGAACAAGTTGTGTTCGCACTGCTTGTTCCCAGTTGTTGTAACAAGTTGTAACAAGCTTGATGGCATTATCAGACTTGTTACAAGGTTGTTCTAACAAGTCTGATACAGTCGTGATATAACAAGAACGTTACAAGCTTGATTTGTGGTTCAACGAAATCGCAAAAATTTTGTTAGAGATCCTGTTAAGTCGAAATGCCGTAGCCACGTCAGTAAAGTTTAATTGTATTGAAATTAACACGCACCAAGTAAAGAAATGCCCTCTCCCTTCCCTCCTTGTGTCAAATGTCTGTCACATCACAAATAAGGTGACTGAACTATCTGCTGTTATCTCCAATAACAAATCAACAATAAATTTGATAGTAGAATCATGGTTAACAGACGACGTTCCCAATAGCTTTATAAATATTGGCGACAACTATCTTATTTTTCGTCTTGATCGACCAACACCCGGGGGTGGAGTTTTAGCGTACATCGATAAATCGGTACCAGTATCTCGTCTGCCAAATCTTGAAGAAGCTGGAAAAGAGGTACTTTGGCTGCTCCTTAAACCCCACCGCTCACCGAGACCCTTTAGTGCTATCATTGTGGTCACCGTTTATTATCCACCGGGGCAGTCTGTTGAGAAAGAACATGAAATGATAAGCTCCTCACAGATGGTCTGGACAAGGTCCTTCATTCTCGTCCTTCGACAGGAATAATTATCGCTGGGGATTTTAACAAATTGAATTTAAGACGCCTATGTAACCGCTTTAACCTAAAAAAAATGGTCTCGACCCCCACAAGAGGTAATAACATCCTAGACCAGATTTTGACCAACATGGCTGACCTCTATTTACCTGCCAAACATCTACCTCCCTTGGGTCGTTCTGACCACCAATGTTTGCTGTTATCCCCCCAAAATGTCAACAAACTTCCCCCTACTTCCAAAAAAGTTAGACTACATAAACCCGAAAGCAAACAAACATTGAGTAGAACTGTTGCCCTCCAAAACTGGGACAATGTTTTAATGGCAACAGATGTGGATGATAAAGTCGAAGCATTTAATAGAACGATACTCTCTTTGCTAGACAAGGCTATGCCAGAAGTGACAATCCGAATGCATACATCAGATAAACCTTGGATTACCCCAAAAATAAAGGCACAGATTAAAGCTAGGCAAAAGGCTTACTGCCGTGGTGATAAACCCAAGTACGACCAATTATGTAAAAAGGTCTCAAAGTTAATTCGGAATGCAAAACAATCTTTTTATCATACCGAAGGGAGAGATCTTCTCCAAAAAGATCCTGCAAAATGGTATAAAACTGTCTATACTCTTTTGGGTGCTGAAACGAATCATAACTCTTTACAAACTCCATCTAATGAAGATCTGTCAAAGGTTGCTGAAAACCTACAAACTGCTTTTACAAACCCATGGAAAGATATCAATGTTGACCTCCCGGACATAAATGAAGTTAATCACTTACTTAAGGATACGTCACCACCCGCTACCTTCCTTAGGGCAAGTACGTTCCTGCCTAAAGCACCTTAACCCAAAGAAAGCAACAGGGATAGATAAAATCCCTGCCTGGTTTTTAAAGCACTACTGTGATGATCTTACGCCAGCGATACATAGTATCATAACAGGCAGCATTACCCAATCCAAGTATCCTACTGTGTACAAGCATGCAATTGTAACTCCGGTACCAAAGATACATCAACCCAAAGATATGAACAACGATTTCAGGCAAATTTCTGTGCTTCCTCATCTAGCTAAAATGATAGAGAAAATCCAGTTGGAACTCAACTCTCATGATTTGGCAATAAAGGACAACCAACATGCTTTCGTTAAAAATCGATCTACTGTTTCAGCCCTGATCTCGATGACCCAGAAGTGGTTTGATGTAACAGATAACTCCAATATTGGAAGAAAAGGGGTCCATACTACGTTTTTGGACTTCAAAAAAGCTTTCGACCTTGTCGACCATAGAATTCTATTAATAAAATTAGCGGAAATGAATGTATCGAAGGCCTTCTGGTCGTGGGTGAAGTGTTTCCTTACAGAGCGGACTCAACATGTGAATTTACATGGTGTTATATCCTCAAGCGCCCCCTGTCCAGCTGGAGTCCCGCAAGGCTCCGTTATTTCCCAACACTGTTCAATATTCATATTAATGATTTGGAAAACACGTTAACAAACAACTTTACAAACACGCACAAGTATGCAGACGACTGCACTCTTGATGAGGTCGTTGCAAACGGAGCCCTTTCAAATATGCAGGAATCGACTAATCAAGTGATGAATTGGGCCAATGATAATAAAATGGTGGTGAATCCCAAAAAAACTAAGGACATGTGGATCAGTTTTTCCCAATCCTCTCCTGAACCCCCACCTATACAAACGGATGGAATTGAAATAGAAAGAGTAAACTCCTTCAAACTTCTCGGTGTATGGGTGCAAAATGATTTAAAGTGGAATACCCATGTTTGTAAAATAACAAAAAGAGCAAATAAGCTATTATTCCTTCTCAGAGAGTGTAGGAAATCCTTCCTACCACCCGAGATTGGTTTATTAACATATACGTCGAAGATCCGGCCAATACTTGAATACGCCTCTCCAGTCTGGGGTGGAATCCCTAAATATCTTGAAGTAGAAATTGAACGTGTTCAACAAAGAAGCTTGAGAATCCTAGGATTGGAGAAAGATACCCTCCCTACACTAAAAGAAAGAAGGGACAAGGCAACATGCAACGAGCTGAAAAGGATTGTGGAAGTCCCAAACAACCCATGTAATCGTTTCCTATCTGGTAATAAGAATCACACTTACGAACTGAGAAGGACCAGAGACAGCACTCCAAGACAGCTCTCAAAAACACACAGGCATAGTACGTCTTTTATCCCAAGGACGTGTAGATTAACCAACTCATGAAATTAGATCATTGTACATATGTATATAAAACCTTTTAAACTTTCTAAGTCTTACACTCTCATAGGTTATATATGTATTTTAGTATAATATTTTTAACTTGTAAATCCATTGTATTTCTATATGCCAAAGATGGATATCTAATAATAAAAATTAAAAATAAAAATTTAAAAAATTAAAAATTAAAATTAAACAAATTTATAACAATATTGTTATATCATGACTGTATCGGACTTATTGGAACAACCTTGCAACCTGACAATATCAACAAGGTTGTTACAAGTTGTTAACAGTTTGTTCCAAACTAATTGACAACTTGGGACAAGCAGTGCGAATACAACTTATTGACGATTTGTTAGCAGACTTGCTACGAGATGTGAGATCTTTACGTGTGTACTGTAGCTGGGCTCGTATATGAACGGGCCCTGGAAATCGAGGGATCACATCCACAGTAATCCACTAACCAAACTAGTAGAAACTTCTATAGTATATAGTAAAACCTCTGGCTGTTTTTTATTGCAGCTTCATGAAACGTACTGCAGTATCTGTAAGAAACGTCAAGTTTCTCAAATCAGCCAGGAAGATTGTTTATCTTTGTGTAATTTACTCGAGACCAGAGGAATTATATCTATGAAAAGAGCGAAGGAAACACGAATGGCTAAGGTAAGAAAATGTACACATTGCTTTCTTTGGTTTCTGAGGAATGATATAAATATAGAGATCTAGCTGCGGTTCGCTTCCGCTTTGGGACATTCAGAAATGAATATTTCGGCAAGTTGTTTGACTTCATTCTAACATACCATAAGTTACTAAGAAATTCAGTGTGATAATTCGCGTACTTACGTATACTGGAGGCACGCCAATATTGCGGTCTGGTAATTATTTATTTTCAGCCAAGTACTACCTAGGTACTGCATAATTGTGCTGGTACCACATGCATGACCACCAAACTTTCTAAGGCACGTTTTATAACGTCGAATTTTGATCGCGTCAAATGCAATTAAGACAATAGATAATGAGATTATTCAAAATACTTGCGATAGATGAACCAGGCGGAAATCGTAATCTTAGGATAAATATTAATGCCCAGCATAAAACACGTAAAAGAGCCATAACAAAAATATAATTTAAAATATTTATTTTAAATTATAACTCCTCTAAAGGCAGTAAAAGCAGCAATCCGACCATGTCTAGTATCCTTTCCCATCTTGATAGCACTGGTCACTCCGCCTCTCTTAATGATTTTAAGATTATTTCTTGTTGCTCTTCTCCAGACGAACTCCTCATTCGAGAAAGTCTTCTCATTAACAAACTCAAACCCTCTCTCAACTTACAGGGCAGCTCGGTCCCTCTACTTCTACTCTGATTCATTCCTCTTTCTACTTTTGTAATATAATATCTTGTAAATAGTTGTAATTTATTCATATTTCCGTGTTTTCCGCTTAGTATGTCCATAAGACGAAACGTTAGCTTTCAAATAAATATTTTAAATTATAATTTTGTTATGGCTCTTTACGTGTTTTATGCTGGGCATTAATATTTATCCTAAGATAATGAGATGATAAACTTCATTAAGCTTCATTATCTATATTGTTTGAATTGCATTCGATGCGACCGATTAAGGTATTCAAAATCAAGTTTAAGTAGTATGTTGGAGTGTATGTCTGTGTATGCAATTATACTCCTCCATGTTCGAACTAATTTGGCTTGCAGGTTATTGAACGAATACCTTGTAGAAATACATATAATATTATGCCTTCAACAATTAGTGAGTTATATCCTGACTTTTAGAAAACTGTCCTTTATCTTAAAAGACTAAGTACACCTGGAGACATAAGTGGCAATTTTGCATTGAACGGCAAGACTAGTTTTCATTATATAAAAAAATCCATTTGGATAAAATCCTAATCCCAACCAAAGCCTAAACCTTATGACGTCATGTCTGCACAGTGTTATGTGGAAAGTCGCCTTAATCACAGATTAAATGCTCTTAATCTCTGCCATGGCTCTTGCTACTTGCTAAACAATAGACAATCGATTCAAAATTTGATGTTAGCACTCTAAATACCATAAATGATAAGAGCGGATCAAAGGCAATAAATGCAAAAAATTCTGAGGCTTGCTTCCTTGCAATACACACGCAAACAAATCTCATCTTGTAGCAATTTTGCCAACAAGCTGTCAACAAGTTGTGTTCGTACTATTTGTCCCAAGTTGTCAACAAGTTTGAAACGATCTGTTAACAACTTGTAACAACCTTGTTGATATTAGCGGACTTGTTGCAAGATTGTTCCAACAAGTCCGATGCAGTCGTGATATAACAATATTGTTGCAACCTAGCTTGTGTCGTCAACCTTGTAACATTCTTGTCATATCATGACTGTATCAGACTTGTTAGAACAACCTTGTAACAAATCTGATAATGCCATCAAGCTTGTTGCAACTTGTGTTAACAGCTTGTTCCAAACTTGTTACAACAACTGGGAACAAGCATAAAGTGCGAACACAACTTGTCGTATAGTTTCCAACAAATATTTACATACTGCATTTTCAACTTTTGCCAGGTTTCATTAAAGATAGACGAACGAGAAGTCGATCATGCTTTACAAGACAAAATTTTAATGACGAGCATCCTGCAAGGAGGTTTGTCACCTCATGACCGATGATGGAATGAACAGTTAGGCTTTTAAACGTGTACGATATATTTTAAATCAATTTATTAGAGATCTAAATTATTTTATATTTGCTAATCACTATCACTTTTTAAAATATTTTTGTTTTAAAAAGTCGAGCTTTATCATGTTTAAACTTTTTTTGCACGATAAAATCGTGAAATATAAACTATTGTGTAAGTTATTTTTATGTAATATAGAACTTGAATAAGTTGTAAATATTTTAACAGATCCGCGTACAACGAACTTTTTTACAGGTTGTATAGCTTGTAGAGGATATACAAGCCTACATATGATTTTCTTACTGAATAAAGTTTAATAATTCAAACCAATTACAGGGCTGAAAAATATAGTGGGCCATGGGACCATTGTCCCAGAAAATGTTTCAGGTTGGCAGAAAAAAAATGGAGGGTAAAAAGTCTTACAGGAATTAGAAAGTGAAGAAAGTTAGTTAAGTTAGTTAGAAGATGAACAGAAAATTAAGAAAGGAGCGACAGAAAGAAAGGAAATGAGACCAAAAGACAGAACAGTGAAAAGTGTCTGTCATCACCAGTCTTTCGAGACATGGTCTGGAAACTCAGTAAACTTCAAAGCGATTATAATGAGCTGGGATTTTGTGTTAGCCGTATACCTTACACCGTGCACATCCTTTGTTCTAGGTTTATTAATATTCAAATAGCATGGTTGAATGACTGAACGTTGCTATTGGATGATTCGTTCATTTTATTATATACTGGCATACAATGTATTCATTGCCGTGCACAAAACTGCATAAACGCGAACAAAAAGATAGAACAAAGACTAGCGGAGTTTCCAAACCATGTTTTGAAAGACTGCTGTGTCATGGACATCGATTGCACACAGTCTAGTCAAACTAAATATTTAAAGAATACGTGCACAATCTCATGAGTTCTCATCCATCAATAGACCTAGTTTCGTATAATGACGTCAAACGCGGAAAAACATGCTAAAATGTGATGTCCCAAGGGACAATGCAAATGATGTTTTTATTAAATTTATTGCGCCAACGATTTGCATTGACCTGTGCGACCATGCATAAATTGGTTTTCCGCGTTTGACGTCATTATAAGAAAGCTCTATTAAGAGAGTATTTTGAATTTACTGATTCATAATAATAATAACATTGAGGCAAAGCTGTCCAAGTGAATCAGTGAATGACTATCTTGAATCTCATGAGGTGATACCATAGAAATATTAGAAATATTGTCTATTATTTGATTTTATTTCTATGATGCATACAGACCATTATTATATACATTAATATGTTTAAAAACAGTTAAATTAAGTTTAATAGACTTTAATAGACGAGCTTGTTACAAGCTGTTCGCAACTTGTAACAAGCTTGATGGCATTATCAGACTTGTTGCAAGGTTGTTCTAACAAGTCTGATACAGTCATGATATAACAAGAATGCTGCGAAGTCGATGACCCAAGGTTAACACTTTCGAAATTTCGAGACAATTTAGAACCAATTATCTCGCAGTCATTACGATTAATTATCGATGATTTGCATGTCACAAAAATCCTTGTGAAATGGACCTTTCCCATAATGACGTCACACGCGGAAAACCAATTTATGCATTGTCCCACAGGTCAATGCAAGTCGTTGGCGAGCCAAAAAATTTCATAAAAACATTGTCCTTTGGGACATCGCATTCCCCAATTTCCCCGATACTTTTGGTGGGCAGTGTGTGGGCGTTAACGCGGAAATCCGTCACTTGCCGTGTTAAAAATATCAATCAGTACAACATCTATTATTGTATTAAATTAATAAGCTCGATCAATGATATTGACAGACAAAAAAGATCGATTGTTACCAATTCCCCATGGTTTAGAGACACGCGCGAGTGTTTTATTATAAATACATCGTTTCCCGAGGGCAAGGACAATTTCTTGCTGGCCCTCTAAATCGAATCGGTTACACAGCAATAAACGATCAGGTTGTTGCAATATTGATGAAAACAGGATTGAACAATGTTGTGCTGCGGCCCACACTGTTCACAGTTGTCAACAATATTGAACAATATTCTTACACCCGATTCAGGCTCAACAATATTGTTCAATATTGTTGTGTGAAATGTGGGCCGCACAACATTGTTGCAAGGGTGGGAATTGTAGCGAAGTAGTTGTAGTTCGCTACTGTAGCGAACTACAATTTTCAAGTAGCCAGTAGCTTTTGACTACTTTTTTAAAACAGTAGTTGTAGTTATAGCGAACTACATTTTGCCTAAAAGTAGCCAAGTAGTTGACTACTTTTCAAACAGCGAATCGCTATTCGCTACTTTTTAAAATTGTTAGCAACTTGATAGAATAGCGTGATATTGAGACACGGTTTGCTTAAAATCAATACTCAATAGTCATTTTGCACTCCTGAACACTGTAGTGCTTACAAAAATGTTGCTTTGTGTTTACTGTTGCTACTCGTAAGTCGATTTGTTATAGATTACATTACAGCCTGAGTCAGTAGATGCTCCAAATATAGTAAAACTAAAAAATATAGTGTAGCGAAATAGCGAAATAGTTCGCTACATTTTTAAGCAGTAGCTGTAGTCAGTAGCGAACTCAGTACCTTTGTTCAAAAGTAGCAGTAGTTGTAGCTGACTACATATTTTTGAAGTAGCTGTAGTTATAGCGAACTACAAAAATTTTGTAGTCAACCCACCCTTGCATTGTTGAACCTGTTAAAGAGCAGGCTCGTAATTTTTACGCGTGTAGGCCAGTCAATGTAAATTCCTGAGTATCCCAACTTCCATATAAAGACTTCCTTCAGAATCTTGGACACTGACTCGCATGTTTCACACGCTACTTTCACATTCATTAATTCCACTCTTGTACTCAGGAAACAAAAAAATATGTTTCGGTACGATACGTTTGAAATGGAAAACGACCTTATACGGTTACTGCATAAACTGGCGGATGACAAAGGAAACGCTTGAACGCTGGTAACTTTTATTTCAGGAAATCACGCGCAAAACACGGTTCGAATTTCTGCAAATATAGTCCTGACTACACACGTCAAAATCTCACAACTTGTCAACAAGTTGTGTTCGCACTGCTTGTCCCAAGTTGTCAACAAATTTGGAACAAACTGTTAACAAGGTTGTTGACATCACCAGACTTGTTGCAAGGTTGTTCGAACAAGTCCGATACAGTCATTGTATAACAATATTGTTACAACCTTATGTCGTCAACCTTGTAACATTCTTGTTATATCATGACTGTATCAGACTTGTTAGAACAACCTTGTAACAAGTCTGATAATGCCATCAAGCTTGTTACAACTTGTTAACAGCTTGTTCCAAACTTGTTACAACAACCGTAGGAACAAGCAGTGCGAACACAACTTGTCAACAGCTTGTGAATAAATTTTAACAACTTGTTTGCAGACCTGCAAGTCTAATACAATCATGCATGATATAACAAGAATGTTACAAGGTTGATCAAACAAGGTTGTAACAATATTGTTATATCATGACCGTATTCGGACTTGTTCCAAACTTGTTGACAACTTGGGACAAGCAATGCGAACACAACTTGGTGACGGCTTGTTGGCAGACTTGCTACAAGATGTGAGATTTTCACGCGTGTAGCCAGCACTGTTCAAAGAGAGAAATATGTGCGCCTGACATGCTAAAATAATTCACCATGGACTTATTCCCTCCATGCCATGGAGGGAATATATTTGAACATTTGGCTTACAAAATACATTTGTGCCATGCTTTTATATAATTTCCACTTCAATTTTCATCCTTTAAGGATAAATATAATAAACTGCTGAGCCTAAACTGGAAATGCACACTCGTCGTTCTCTGAAGGATAAATCCACTTGACAGTCTGATAGAACATCGTATCAGTGACCACAGTCAGTGACTCTTTGTTTTTTTTAACTTCGTCAAAGGTTCGGCCGCAGCGGGCATTTCCGGATGCATGACGATGCGGAACGATTGTTCTCCGACTGAATGAGAGAGGAAAAGAGCAACTTGTAAAAATTTGCAAGTTGTCAAAACATTGTGTCAGAATTCACGTTTATTTATTCATCTAGAAGAAACCGGCTATACGGCTTCGTGGAAGGAGCGCCTTGCAGGGCGAGTTTTGAAATAATTTGCGGGGTCTTTTGTTGGGAAGCATGGACACATTTGGTAATATATACTGGCCCGATTAAATGACATGAAACGGTAATTGCCTTAGCTTTTATATAAAATACGCGTCTCGCTGCTTTGTCCTAGGGCTTGGCTAGTCGGTGGTTTTCTGTGAAAACTGTTTTGAGAAAGAAAGCCATTACGTTGTGTAGCTGTCAACAGGCAACGATTTAGGCAGTCGGGACAATTTTGAAGCGTCTAACCAACAGATTTTAGAATAGCGGCCGAGGATTATGGCATTTAAAACAAAACAATATCATTTATGTTTACACTAGATTGTTCGACAAAAGCTGCCAGAAATTCTGTTTGTCGGGTGTGTTATTTGATTTGACATAGCGATACACTGAACAAAGTTTATTTTAAGGTTAAAAACTTGATCGATGATTGAAATTGTTGTGTGATTTTTTTCTTTTATAGTGGTAATATAATCCGTGCTTTTCAAATCCATCGAAGGAAGCGTGTGTTTGGCATTCAAAGAAGAGCTCGACGTCTTTGTATTGTAGTCCACATGGTTTGAAATTGTGGCATTTCAAGAGTTTACGTCTAGAAATTTCAGGTTAATATAAAATGCGGATGTTTTCGTAGTAAATTTTGATACAAATTTTCAATATGTGTTTGATAATAATTGACACAACAGCAACAAGGTCTAGATAAAAGTCTGTGAAGAGGAACACGGCTCCCAGCAGTGATAAACAATCACTAAAGCAGCGAGAAGATTTGTTATTCGTACTTGTGTAAAATAATGCACTTGGAGATGTCTAAGACACAACAAAGTCGTGTGAATATGTCATCAAAAAGACAAGGCATCGTCTACAATGGCGACGAGCAGACCTCGCAGTTCGACGGGCTGCCCACATCTTTGGTGCGAGGGTACAACTATTCGACCGGTCATAACGGCGAAAGTAATGCTTCGAATCTTGTAAAATACAACAAAGAGGACGAGACGAGGAAAAGTACGGGTTCTATCCATAATTTTGGACCGAATCAAGAATACATTCATGTCCGTAGCTCAAGCGATACGAGCGAAATTAATATGATGCCGGCGTCATATGCCACTCGAATGAACGATGAAAAAAATGGCGAGCGCCCAGAACGACCTACTTCAGGGGACAATTTTCAAGCCATTATACAGCGTTTTGAAAACGCTAGCTTTCAAGGACAATTGGGACAAAGGCTTACGAATTTGACAACAAAGAAAGGGAATGACCGCACAGATTGGGGTGGCAGTAAACTATTTAAGTCGCCTCGGACATCGGGCACTGCAAGTCCTATTTCGGACAAGAAAGCATACCTGAACTTAAAACGCAAAGGTTCTCTTAAAGCTAGCGCTGCCAGGAAGAGCAAGTCCGACGAGAGAGGAATTATAATAGACGAACGAAATTGGGAAAAGCCCAGAAAGGCTTTTGCCCACTACGATGTACAGAGCGCTGCTTTTGATTTTGAAATTATTGCAAACAACATTTCAAAGAGTGGCGATTGTCTCCGGCGAAAGAATACAATCACAGGAGCGTCTGCTGCGTCGGGCCGTGAAACTGCGGCCGTCATTGCTGACAAGAGTCAAGCAATTGAAACGACGTGTAGCACTAATGAAGAGCAAGGGGATAATAAGACTAACGAGCTCGTTCTCTCTTGTCCGTATTTCCGTAACGAGCTCGGTGGCGAACAGGACGAAATATTTGGTGAATTCAAGTATAATTCATCGTATAAGACATCAAATGTGCAGAAGAGCTCAAATAAGAGACATTCGACCCTTGACGTTGTGCTTACCGCATACGATTCGATAAGGCGTGGCCAAGCGTTCAGCGCGACCGGCGTGACCATATTGGATTCGCATATGGCGCACGGCGAAGGTAACGAGCCTGCAGACCTGTGTAGCATGGAGGATCGGAAAATGTTCGAACATGTTGACCATGGTGCATTTTATTACAGACACTACTTTCTTGGTCAAGGTATAATTTTGAATTTATTTGGTTGGTATCTCCCTGGGGCCGGTTGTTCAAAGGCGAGTTAGCACTAACCCTCGGTTAAAATGTAACCCTCTGTTTTGGTTTGTGTACTTCTGCATGTCCGTTTAATTCAAAACGTCAGAGAAGTAATCTCCTATTGACCCAGACAGGATTTCCGAAGAAACATTTCCAAATTTATAGACAAGCTGTCAGGAAGTTTGCTTTGAATTTTAGGTTAACCTAGGGTTAAGCTAACCCAGCTTTGAACAACAAGCCCCTGATGAGTAAAATCGTCTGGTGTTAGACAGAGTAAAATAATAAAGTAAGTTGCATTAGGGCGCAGTGCAACTAATGAGTTAATATCAACATCTCATTAAAAATTCATCTTCCTGAGTACAGGTTTGCCAATCTATTAGTAATTTATGAGAATTTTTAGTCTTCTTCATGAGATCTTGTCACATGGATATGATCTCATTGATCGAGATGCTTGACCACATGTTGGATATTGAAGTAGACAGGACAGGTGGTTTCATTCAAAGATGTTTTTCCACTTGAATGCTGGGTTTGGTGGATAATGAGTCGTTCCAGAAAAGATCCATACTCCCCCCACGGAGGAAATTTCTGCCCTTTGGAGGAGGAGGGGAGAAAAAATTATTTCTGATGCTAGTAAATGTATTAGGACATCCGAAGGGGGTAGGGGGTTAACTAACTTAACTTCCTATTTCCTCAGTGGGGGTGGTGTTTTCTGGAATGACCCAATTATATATATGCACAATTTTAAGACCTAATCAGGAACGGTTGTGAAAAATGCGACACTAGGTCCTCAGGCAGGAATTGAACCTGTAGCCATTCAGGTTGTTTCATGCCTGTGGGTTTTATTTTTGTGGAGGTTGCCAATCATTGAATGAAGCTAGTCACAGCCAATATAACTCTAGGAGGCTTAGATAGCTACCATACCCATAGGCATATAGGAGGAAAAATTCGGGACCAGACAAAAGTTTGCCTTGATATTCATGGAATTTGCCCGACCAATAGACAAATTTCAGAATTCTTAATTCAACTACATGTAAGTTTTGAAGGGCACATTTGAATTTAAAGGCGGCCGCTTAGACTATGGAAGTTGTGTCTCTTCATGGCCAATTTAATCCTCAACGTTTTCACTACTACGTTTTCACTTTAACAATTAAAATTGTATTTAACCCATTGAGCCGCAATGGGCCCCAGTGCGCCCCACTTATTTTTTTACTTGGGGAAGCTCTGTAGCTCAAGGGGTTAAATAGTAAAATAACAAATACGAGGATATAAGAGTTTATTGCAGGTTAATGGCCAAAAGAGAAATTAGCTTGTCATGCTCATGACAATTTCTTTACAGTGAAAGGTTTTTGTAGATGAAAAGCTACAAAGTCCAGTTGTCAAGTTCACTGATCAGAATGCTGCACCATAATTGCAGGGCCACAACATCGATTTCTGCCAGAGGGACTATATGAATTTGTCATTGAGTATTATTTATTTTTTTTCGTATATAATAGTCTGGGATTATATTTAGATTCGGGGTGTGGGCTGAAATGCTAATTATGTACATATTGACTTTGTAATATTAGTGCTTCAGCATGCACAAGTTTTTATGCATTTTCCAATAGCTTGTCAAACCTTTGCCATCATACAGTATTAAGCCCTTATCTATGACACATGTACTCAAAATAACCAAGAACCAACTTTATTAGGATGGACTTTTAATCAGTATCTTTCCCTTGTCAAATTTAGTGTTGTTTGCCAAAATTCATTATTGTTAGCCTGTATATTTAGCAGGTAGAGATATTGGGCTAATGAATTATATGTCCTGCTGTACATGCACGAGTGTGCTTTCAATTTCTTATACAACAAAGAGGAGGATGCCTCATTTCTTTGCAAATAAGTTTTCCATAGTAATAACTAAAGACAGGGTTAAAGATGCGGTACAGTCCGATCTGCACATGTGCACAAAGGAGCCCTCTTTTTATTTAGAAACAGTTTATTTGGGTTTTTATTTCATTTTATGTTCTTGCAAAGCTTGATTGTTGTCTGTTGATAATTTATTATACTCTAGAATCATGAAAATATAAATAGTTGTCGAATAAAATTCATTATTTTGGATACCGAAATGTAAACAAAGTCTTTGTTTACATACGGACTGTACCGCATCTTTAAGTCTGTTCTGCACATGTGCTATGTGAGGATCCTGTTTCAACATCTTCTAAATGGAAATTCTAATCTATATTTATTAAAAATCATAGCAAACCAGAACGATGTTAGATATTAACTACAAATGTTTTTATGAATACAGTGTCTTCAAAATGTAAACAAAATGCAACATCCTCTTTATTAACCCATTAAGTGTCAGTGCTCTTCCCTTGACAAGTAAAGTCATCTGGTGTTAGACAGGGTAAAAATATTAAAGTATGGCGCATTAGGGTGCAATACAACTTAATGGGTTAAGTCAAAGATGAGTTAGATAAGTCATGAAGTGATCATAAGTCATGACCCTCAGTATCTCATACTAATCTGTCAGACTCGAATGATTCCAGATGTAAATTTTGATCTAGGCAAGAAGAACAAAATCCATTAACACATTATGTGGATTTTGGATTCTGTTGTTCTTGCCTAGATCAAAATTTAGTCTATAGCCTGGAATCATCCATTGCATCGTCATTAGACATTACTCAAAATAATGGAAAGTCAGTCTGTTCTATGAAAATGTAACTTTAGATGAACTCCTAATTAGTGTCTCATATCATATATCGTGTTTGCCATAATGATATAATATCAATATTGTTAGCCTGTCAATACCAGGTAGAGATATTGGACCACTAAAAGATATGTTCTGTTGCACGAAGCATGAACATACTTCTAATTTATACAACAAAGAGGAAGGCACCTCATTTCCTTGCAGATAATTTTCCCGTTGTAATAATTAAGTTAGATAAGTCGTGATATTTTCATCCATAACAGCAGGGATGGAGTGGCTCACTGGGCTAACTGGAGATTTTCTCAGCTGGGTCCTCAGTAGCTTACTATTTTACATTGGGCTGGTTAAAAGTCATAGTGTTTCAACGAAGTTTGTACCTTATAAGGGGTCTACACTGCCACAAAGAAGCTTTGATTGTATAAACCACCAGACTTTATGGACTAGGGCTCTGACTTGTCCACAGTCCCCCCAAATCACGCTTAAAAAAATTTATAATGATCCATGGGATAGCATTCCCATCATTCAATATGGAATGAGCAACTAGATGAGTAAGGACTAGAGGCACTCTGTCTCTAATTACCAGCTTGTTCTGGAGAGCCACACCCTTATTCAAAACAGGTGTAAATTTGGACAAAATTTCGTTGACGATTTCAGATAGTAAGATCATTGCCAAAATGGAAGCAACTATTAACCCATTACTGTTACTTCCAAATCATCCTCAGAGATACGAAAAACTAGTTTCATATTATTCTGACACTGCAATCGAGCAACGAAAAATTCGTTGGCTCGAGCGGGATTTGAACACGCATCTTCGGGTGTATCTAGACCGCCGCCCGCTCTACCCATTGACTAGATAGCTCAATGGGTAGAGCGGCGGTCTGGATACCCGAAGATGCGAGTTAAAATCCCGCTCGAGCCAACGAATTTTTCGTTGCTCGATTGCAGTGTCAGAATAATATGAAATTACTGTTACATTGTGTTATTATTATTATCCATCTAACGCCAGATGATTTTGCTCGTTAACGGGAGAGCGCTCACACTCAATGGGTTGGTGATACTTTGCTCAAGGTCATGCAATTTTATTCACCTACTCGGTGATAAGCCAGTCTTTGTCCTTGCCGTCATTAGAGCGAAGTGAAGCTCGATCTATCTGATCCAATATTAACGTTCATTTTAGATCATGTTAACTATGTCGGTGAAGACGATAAGTTTGGTGCCATGGCGATCTCTTACAAGCGAGAAAAAACAGAAATTCCTCTGAACAATGAGGATGATGTTACTATCAGTCAATATGAATATCGAGTTATTGTCAGAACCAGTGAGGTACGTGTATTAGCTATTATTGTCGATTTCAAGTCACTTTTCAACGGTTACGCGCGGTTCCCAAGTTCGTTGCGAACTTGCCAATTACGTTTCCAAGTTCGGAAATTGGGCGCGAACTTCGCAACAAAGTTCGCAAGTTCATTTCAATTTTTGAACTTCGTTTGTAAACAAATGTTCATACTCAATAATAACCAATTCAATGAAATACAAACCTTCTTGGTAGCCCACTGGACCAAGAACATTCCATTGAATTGTTAATTTCAACTTGAACTATGAACATTTGTTCACAATAGTTCAAACATTGAAATGTACTTGCGAACTTTGTTGCGAAGTTCATGCCCAATTTTTGAACTTGGAAACATAGTTGGCAAGTTCGCAACGAGCTTGGGAACCGCGCGTTAAAAAGTGACTTGAAATCGACAATAAGAAGAGAATCTTTTGTATGTTACGTAACACGTATGTTGCGTAACACTTCGTTATGAGTATATTCATATCTTTAATTCTTGATTTGTTTCTCCTGCGGGAAACAAACATAGAGAGTATGTTTAGTGCTTTATCTGTAAAATTATGCCACAATGAAGATATTTTAGATGGTACCCCAAAGAGAAAATTATTGCTGTATATAAATATGACGTCAGTTTTACAGTATTAATGTTAATTGTATTCAAATTGACAATATTTAACTATTATTTTGCGTTTCTCGTCAGATACATTGAAAAAGTTGCTAACCGTGTACATTACAAAATAAAGCTAAAACAAAGTAATTTTGAGAGGAACGCCAAAAAAGATTTGTATAGGTAATCATGCGATGGCGAATACAATTTGGGATTAATAGTACGAGTGATGTTTGGAAATTTTGCCAAATTTCCAAACATCACGAGCACTATTAATCTCTAATTGTACGAGCAACATCGCATGATTACTTGTTTATTATTAGCATGACAAAATTGCATACTTCTCAATGTCAACATCATATTCTCTCGCCAAAGCGCAGTCCTGCCAAACTTTGAACTAAAATTTGGTGCTTTTGTTTGTTTTGGGAAAATCATTAATTGTACTGCAGTACAACTGTCTCTCTGTAGCAGTGGCGTAGCCAGACCTTCATTTTTGGGGGGGGGGGCGAGGCGAACGCCGAAGGCGCGAGACCATCTAGGGGGTTCCGGGGGCATGCACCCCCGGGAAAATTTTGAAATCTAGAGTCCCTGAAATGCGATTTCAAGCATTTTGGGGGTGAAATCTTGCAGAATTCCGAAGATTATAAGGTACATCGAAGACATAAATTTTCCAGACATTTCTAATTTTCTACTCGGAATTAAATATATTGGAACAGTCACCTTGAAAAACAGGAGGAGCCGGTCAGCGTCACCTTATTTCCCCTCTGTGATGCTGCATGGGGTAGAAAATCCCAATGTGATTTTGATCAGAAATGTTGCATTTAAACGATACAGAATAAGTCTGAGAAGAATATTCATGCTATGATAATGCATACATGTAAATCTACACTAAATCTATTCTTCTTCGAACCATATATCTACAACTGCTTTAACGAGATTTTACAAATCAAGTTCCTCCATTATATCGTCGTTTTCCTCAGTCGAGACGTACTTAATCAGTTTCAGCTTCGAGGATGTAACGTGTACCCCCTCCCCCCCATTTCTCTACGGATTTAGCCTTTTTCAGAGAATGGTGTTTTTTTCGATTGGGGGGGGGGGGCGACCGCCCCCCCTCGCCCCCATCCCCTTGGCTACGCCACCGCTCTGTAGCCCAGTTGGTTAGAGCGCTGCAATGGAATCGCAGGGCCGCAGGTTGAATTCCTGCCAGGGACCTATGTTGCATTTTTCGCAGCTGTTCCTTGGGAGGTCTAATAAATGTTTATAGAATTTCCACTCGATAATTTCCATCTACAAAACCCTCCAACTATTATTCGATCGAGTGCGATGCCAACAAAATCTTAGTAAACAGTAAAGTCTTTTGGGTTCCGAATGGCGAATGCGTCGGAATTAGAACGCAATTAGAACGCAATTTGGAATGCGTGGGAACGATAATCGGAATACAAATGCAACACATTTGAAAACGTGTCCAGACGCATTTTCGCTCAGATAATATTGAGTACTGTTTCAAAAATTTGAAGGGTGTTTTTAGTATTATTGAAGGCTGCAGGTCTGTTACTGTTAGTTGGCAATATGTGCCTATTGGTGTTTAAAAAAAACCAGGAGAAAGAGATGAAATCTTAAACATAGATAGAAACACGATTAGGATCTAGGGACTCAGTTTGTTGAAACGATTAAGCCATGGGCGTTGCATGTGATTTAGAAAATGTGAAGATTATAGGATTTACACGTTTTGTAACTTATAATGCGGATTACTAGCGTCGAATCGAGACCGCCAGAGGCTAAAACTTGTTGCAGACAGCAGGTTTTTCTACGACAAGTTTTTATATAAAATTTTTTTTGCTTATCTGCATGGACAATTTTGTCAATTTTCACTGTGACATGTACACTCATTCAAAAGTTAGTATGCCATCCTTTGAACAAGTGCACTTAATTCATTCCATAGAAAAGGTAGAAAAAAATTTCAAATTACAAAAAATCTTGTTCGTCTGTATGGGCCGACAAAGAAAATTTGGCAAAGTAATTTGAGCACTTGCATGGTCAACTTTTATTGTGTGAATGCTGGCGACATTCAACCTGATTAAATTCCTAATGGATTAATCCACACACTTTCTCCCGAAATTTTTATCTCTGGATTGACTAGAGCAGCTTTTCAATAGCGACGCAAGCATGGCCTTTCAGGCTGTGGCAATTCAATATTTTTAATCATGCATGTGCCTCCCTGTTACTTCAAAGGGTATTGCCGCGTACTTGAGCTGGGACAAAACTAAGACTCATGGTGTACTTAGTCTTTAAAACGAAGTACATAAATTACATGTTTTTGAAAGGTATTCATTCACTAACCTGTAACTATGAGTTAGAACTAGCAGTAAAATTGCTTATAACAAAACACTACATACAATCGACTCCAATATTCATTGGTCCCATCCCATCAGTCCAATGCCAAGACATGTCAGACTTATACACATATAGCTGCTTAATTACGGTTCCGATTATTGAATGGCTTGGAAAGGTCATGCATACGATGCCAGAAAAAGGTAGCGAGAGTTCCGTGTACCTCTATAGAAAAGAAGTACTACTCCGGTATTTATCTTTCTCTTGTGCTCATCTCGACGCAAGTGACGCATATTACATGCATTTCTTTGTGTATCCCGTCATTGTTGCGGAAATGTTGTTTTGCTATGTCTCCCAAAGTTTGACAGACCAGGAAATAATATTTCCGTAAAACAGAATATGTTTCCCAAATTGTTGGGAAATCTTTTTGCCGCATGGGAAGCAAATTCTGCAGCTCTGCTACCAAGTTTTCCCCGTACCTATGCTTGGGTTTGTGTGAGCTAATGAAAATCAATGTTATTGTAAAGAAAGTGCAATTGTTATTTGTTCTCTAGATGGAAACTTTGCGAGGAAGCGTACTTGAAGAAGGTATTCCATCCACTTCACGTCATAATACGGCACGAGGTTTGCCTCCAAAGGATATTTTAGAATATGTTTGCCCTGAGATCAATATCAATTCACTGAGGTTGGCTGCAGGTGGACCAAAGGTAAAAAAAGATTATAGCACTTTTTTTATATTATTTCATACAGATTATAGCACGTCTTTATATCTGTTCAGCGATATAGTGATAAATAACAATAAAGACTTTATTTAAACTGCTAAAAATCCCATCAGCAATGCTGCTGGTATTAACGGGAGAACCGTGATTACAATTATCAACGTTACAATTATTTTATATACAATATAAACATGCATATTCTTATACATTACAAATATGAGACATACGCCCGTATTCTAAAAGCTCACTCGCACTCAGTGAGTGGAAGTTTAATCTGAGCTTCTCTCGGGTGTCACTGCTGTTTTTGAATAGCTGGAGGGTTAGTGTAATTATACCTTACTATGCGACTACTCACCCTCCAGCTTGCGCAATTGAAAATGTACTTCCATTGATATATGCGCAATATAAATTTTATAGTAATAGTAATAATAATATTCAAAATCAGCATTGACACTCAAGAAAAGCTCAGATCGAACCTCCACTCATTGAATGTGAGTGAGCTTTTAGAATACAGCCGTTATTGTCAAGTTCTAAAAGATGCGTATAAACAGTACGTGTAAATTTTGAGAAGGATATTACTTCTATAATGTTTAAAGGTAAAGAGTTCCAGTCTTTAGCACCAGCATACTTGAATGTTGATTGACCTATTGCACTGTTCACCTTCGGAAGATCAAGCAGCATCTTATCCCTCAGGTCCATAGATACTGTATCTTATATATAAGATATTTATGCTCAGGTCTTTGTTGTGCATGCAACGTTTGAATTTGAACGTATCTCTCAGTTGGCATAACGTGTATCACAGATCTTACAGAATTACTTTTGCCTACGATTTTGCTGTCTCTATATGTTCCTAGCCACTGCGCTTGTGAGTGGCATTCACCCTCTCTAGGAAGAAGCTCTAGGAAGATGTTCTGTGCCTGGTTGCTTATGACAATGACAAAAGACGTAATTGGCTTACGATAAACAAAAGGAATATTGTTCTTGCTTCGTTCTTTAGAAAATCCATTCAATTGCTTATTCTTTTGTCATTGTCATAATCAACCAATCACAGAACATCTTCCTGGAGCTTCGTGCCGACCCGAAAATATTCGAAATGGCAGACGATTAGGGGGGGGGGGGGTGAATGCCTCTCATGCGCACTGGCTAGGAACATGGCGAGTGCATTTCCATGACGTATTATGGCGTGGCGGCGGTTATACGCTTTTTTGGCTGAGTCGGCTTTCTGTATTGTGTCTATTCTGTGGCGGTATCTTAAGTTCTTAAGTACATGCGTTATTGTTTTCTTTTATTAAATGCTTTGCTTTGTATGTTTCTTTTGTAGGTGCCAGAAATACTTTTAAAGTTAGATGAACAAGGGGTAGGTTGTCCATATAAAATTTTTGCATATGAATTTGAATTTGAACGAGATTTTTTAAAGTTCGCCGAGCAAATGCGTACTATTGCATTGGCTTACATCTCTGGTAATGTTTCTCTTGCAGGTAACACGTCAACATAAGATTGGTATACTCTACTGTAAAGCTGGTCAAAGCACGGAGGAAGAGATGTACAATAATGGTAAGGTGTCGGGACTTCAATTGCGCGCGTGAAGTTGTTTCTACTTAAACTTAAGCTCTGGTGAAACGTGTCATGAAGTCAAGAGCGACAATCCATTCCAAACAGTGGGGAGAAGCCGGCTAACAGTCGTAATTTATTATAAGTTATATTACGAATGTCCCATGAGAGTTGATGAAAGTTGGCAAGCGAGAGTTTGCTGCATGAGAGTTTTCTCAACTCGAGAACAGTGTTGCATGAGAGTTGATGAAAGTTGATTAAAGTTGACTAGATACTACCGTGCGCGTGGCGAAAACTTGAATCACTTCTCATTAAAATTTGAACCTGCTCAAAGTTGATGAGAGTCTGTGGGCAAACGCAAGCGAGATTTGCTGATTTCATCAACTTGAAAAACATCACCCATCCTTGTTAGACTGGGCCTTTACTGTACGTTTCTATGTTAATGAAGAACTCCAATAAATTCCTTGGCGGTTTGCATAGCGATAAACATATAATTGGTTCAAGGGCACATTTTAATTTTTTTACTGTCGTTCCAATTGAAGTGTTCCTCAAATATCCCGAGGTAGTGTATTGAATCAATATTTGAGGAACACTTCAATTGGAACGACAGTAAACGAGGGGTGGAAACATTTGTAGTGGGGTGCAAGCGGCACCACCGAACGAACTTCGGCAGGGGTTAGGCGTTCACACAAAATAGGAGGGGTGAAGCGAAATTTTAGTGAGGTTGAACACTTTATAAGAGGGGTAAGAGAGATTCTGGGGGGGGGGGTTAACCCCCTAACCTTCCCCCAGTAAATCCGCCCATGAATTGGTTTCTTTTTACACAAATTATATTTCACAAACTTTCGGTTCGTGATTTGATTTGTATACTACTTAATTTGCACTGATGAAAATCCAAGCAATAGCAAATACGGATTGAAAGCGAGGAAATCTGATGTGTTTCAAAAAAATCTTTTGCTAGATAGAGGTTTGTTTCCGTTTCTTATAGAAGAGTCAGGACCGGCTTTCAATGAATTTATGGATCTGATTGGAGAACGTGTTGTATTGAAAGGTTTTGAAGGTTATAGAGCACAGCTCGACAACAGAAGTGAGTTGCGAAAAATTTTGAGTTGAAACTCTAAAATTGTGTGGTTGAATCTTTCGATGTAATTAAAAACAACCCTCTTGTGTTTCAGATGACTCCACTGGCGTCTACTCGCTGTATCGCACGTTTCGTGGTAGAGAAGTTATGTTTCATGTTTCGACTATGTTACCTTGGACACCAAACAATAGACAACAGGTATTTATAGGAGAGACTGCAGGGATATGTGTTTGGTTAACACTTTAACCACACTGTTAATTTCAAGATTTTAACTCCACCTGAGGAGTAGCCCGCTTAGCAGCCGATTATATTTTGGGGGGAGGTGGAATTCTGCTACGCAGGCTACCTGAGGGGTTAAAACCACAAAAGGGAAGTTAAAATACTGGAGTAAAATTTACTCCAGAAAAGGAGTCATTATTTATTACTCCTCTTTTGGAGTTTCATGTAAATTGACTCCCCGTAATTACACTGTAACAGTGTTTGGTAATTATTGTCGATTTCATATTACTTTTCAAAGCGCGGTTCCCAAGTTTGTTGTCAACTTGCGGGAACTTCACAACGAAGTTCGCAAGTTCATTTCAAAGTTCGAACTTCGATTGTAAACAAATGTAAAAATTTTATTTATAAATTTATTTAAAAAGGCATTTTTCGTCTTGGGAGACCACTGGACCAATATTTTACTGCAGTAATATGTACATAGGGCCTTATACAGTAATTTCAACTTCAACTATGAACATTTGTTTACAATCAAAGTTCGAACTTTGAAATGAACTTGCGAACTTCGTTGCGAAGTTCCCGCCCAACTTCCGAATTTGGAAACGTTGCGAAGTTCCCGCCCAACTTCCGAATTTGGAAACGTAATTGGCAAGTTGACAACAAACTTGGGAACCGCTCTTTGAAAAGTAATATGAAATCGACAATAATATCAAAGCATTAGTTTCTTCATCTGACAAATTTCTGCAGAACGAAAACAAGCATCTGGAACGATTTGTCACAAATCTGAAAAGAATCAACTTCTGCCAAAAGGACGGGCTTCCATTCATTGCGAAACGTTGCACGATTGACTGTTTCGGTCGCAAACCGTCGATCGTGCTGAATTTTGCAACGATTGTGAATCCGTATATTGTCGATTTCAGAACGCCCTTTTCAAAGCGCGATGCCTATGATGGTTGTGAATATTCTCAATTACGTTTCTGAATTTGTAATATTGTGCGTGGAAGTTGCAAAGCCAACTTCGCAAGCCGCTTACTAAATTACCAAACTACTGAACATAAACTCGTAATTTTATAGAGTCTTACTAACATAGCCAACTAATTGAACGTATTTCTTAAATGCTTTAATAAATAGAAAATTTGTTGGTCATGTTAATAATAAATTCGTCAAATTTGTTGGCCATGTTAGTGAAACACTGCAAATTCCGATCAATACTTCGGTACTTTTGTGAGCAACTTGCGAAGTTAGCTTTAATGCAATTTCCACGACAAATGATCGAAATTTAGAAACGTATACTTGGGAATATTCACAGCACATTTTGGAATCGCGCTTTGAAACTCTTAATAAAAACCCCTAATGTATTCGTTTTCATTCCTTCCAGCTACTGCGCAAACGACACATCGGCAATGACATCGTGACCATCGTGTTTCAAGAACCGGGTGCATTACAGTTCACTCCAAAGAATATTCGCTCACATTTCCAACATGTGTTTATCCTAGTCCGCGTGTTTGAACCTTGTACACCCAACACAAGATATCAGTAAGTTGCGGAAAATGTCTGTCTCAATATAAAGGCCCTGTCACACTATTGCGTATGAGAGAAACGTATGAAAAGCGTATGAAAATTAATGAAATAATTTTCATACGCACAAAAATCCTTTGAAATGCCAGCGTATGAGTACCGTACATCTGGCGTACCTCTAGGGTATTCAGCGTGTGCCTAGAGTATGCTTATCGTATAAAGCATACGTCCGATACGCACAAAATTTTTGAACATGCTTAAAAAAAATTCTGCCTCGGCGTATGCCAGCGTATGCCACCGTAAGCGACCGTGCTTGAAACGTATACAACGTATGCCTAACGTACCCCTAGCGTATGTCAGCGTATACCGGCGTATGAGTGATATTTTTCATACGCTGGCATACGCTAGTACGATACGCAATAGTGTGACAGGGCCTTAAGGGATGACTTTCCCTATCGCCAAAACAAGAAATGTTCACTCTATATACTATTTAACGGACATTGGCAATAAAAAATAGTTTAGTTCATATGAAAGAACTCTTCAAACTATATATTAAACTCTGTTACAGATTGTTTATGTCCTGCTTAGTTTTCAAAATATTTCGACTGAAAAAAGTGAGCTGTTCGCCATCTATTGAGGATATGCATGTTACGTCAAGAGAGGGGTCACGCGCTAATTTTTTATCTTGAGAGTAAGCGATCAATATGGGTCCAAAACTTCGTTTCTGGTTGCTGTCTGAAATTTAGAAATGATTAAAACATTTCAAACAATTTTGAATTGTTACTCGGTCATTTTATATGGTTAACCTACTGACGTCATCAAAACCACAGTATATAAAACCAAGAATTAGTCTAAGATGGCAGACAGCTCATTAATTTCGGTCTAAATATTTCGAGAACTAAGCAAGATATGACAAATCGGTAATAGAGTTTAATATATAATTTTAAGAGTTCTTTTGAATGAGACAAATTAATTTTTTTTTGCCAATATCCTTTACGCTCTGTTTGAATTTTTATTGTTAGAGTGGCTGTAAGTCGTTCGAAAGATGTGCCCGCGTTTGGTCCACCGATTCCAGCTGAAGGAGTTTTCACAAATATGGAAGGCTTCAAGACGTTTTTGATTACGAAATGTACGCAGAATCAAGAATTGTATATGTATATTCTGTATTTTACAGACACATGGCATTGTTGCTTCTGTGTAGAGCGAGATACATAAATATTTAATAATGAATGATCAATGTTTTTAGTGATAAACGCCGAGAATGCCGCCCACAAGTCGGACAAATTTCGCGCCATGGCAGTGCGTACTCGACACGAGTACCTCAAGGATCTGGTGACGAATTACATGACCAGTACCACTGTGGAAACTGGGGCCAAGTTTGGTATGTGAATGTTTATTGTAGGATTTTAGTGTACATTTTACCGAGCAGCAGAATGGTAGTCAACTTCAAAATCTTTGCACTTTGCAAGAGCAAGAAAATTATATTCACTGTATCATCATTCGTTGCCGATTACAAGACTTGTTTGTACCTATAATGAAAGATTATTTGATGTTTAAGAGGCAATTTTTTTCATTGTCACGTATTTGCAATCAAAAGTGTTCAAAAGCTAAAATCGTTTTGGCGTTCCTCTCAAAATTACTTTGCTTTTATAGCTTTATTCTCTAGTTTATAGAGTTAGCTACCTTTTTAAATGCATCTGCCGGTTGAGAAACATAAAATAATAGTTAAAAATTGTCAATTAAAATACAATTATCATTGATGCTTTAAACTGACGCCTGCATATTTATAGCCAGATAAGAAAAACTTATTGAACTTCAGACATAATTTTCTCTTTGGCGTATCATCTAAAATCTCTTCATTTTAGCATTATTTTACAGATAAAGCACTAAACATACTTTTTAAGTTTGTTCGCCGATTGAGAAATGTATCGAAAAATAAAAATTTTGAATTTAGTCATAACCTCAAGTGATATATTATACGCATTAGTTTTGAGCGCGTGTTACGTAACATACAAAAAAATCTCCTCTTAATTACACACACATCGAAATGAATTACAATGTGTTTACAAGTTTACGATGTTTAAAAATAACATAGTCATATAGAAATCACAAAATTAAACTGAGCTAAAAGAAGTTGAGATTAATTACAGTCAAATCCGGTGTTGCCTTGCCGGCAACATTACAATATTGTCACGCAATATTGCAATATTGATCGGCTGATTGCTCTAGCAAATTGCAACCGACGCGAACAAATTGCAATTTTTACCTCGCGCCCAAATGTCAGATGCCAAGCATTTGATTAGCTTGTTTTGTACTAGCAGGCAGGCTTTATTTACAAACTTGCTTCCGAAATCCGAATCATATTATGAACTTTTGAATTTTGCAGTTGACGGTTTAATACTGTTACTGTACGTAAAAATTGCAATTTGTTCGCGTCGGTTGCAATTTGCTAGAGCAATCAGCCGATCAATACTGCAATATTGCGTGACAATGTTGCAATGTTGTTCGCAAAGGAACACCGGATTTCACTGTAACTAATACTGTACTTGTAAAAGAGGTTCAATTAATCTAAAATAAGGTTTTCTTAGCAATTTAGTTATGTTGTATGTATTTAGTCGATTGTGCTCGGAAAGAACCTATTCTTGAAAAGTTCTGTTCTGCACTTGTACAATGACAAATTATAGTTTTGATGAGCGCAATCTCTACAGGGTGTATAAAACAGCTCGGATTTCGAAAAACAGCTATTAGTGTCCAGTTTTTGATGTATATAACTTCTTTGGGTACTTATATTGTAGAATAATGGGAAAAATTCTCGAACTCAAATTTTGTGAACCAGGTGTGTGCCTTTTCCAACAAACTAAAAATGAAATTTAAGAGCTTTAATCATATTTTGAGTTAATAGATGGAAAATTTGTTGGGTTTTTAATTACTGTACAAAATTTCAGACAATTTGCTTTAGTTTAAGTCCTTTAGCTATTCATTTTTTAAAAATAATCGGCCTTTCGCATGCTTAATTAATGCCTTTACCTAATTTGCATATTGCTGATATATGCAAATTAGGCAAAGGCATTAATTAAGCATGCAATTTTTAGTTTGTTGGAAAAGACACACCGCCCTGGTTCACAAAATTTGAGTTCGAGAAATTTTTTTCATTATTCTACATTATAAGTACCCAAAGAAGTTATATGGATACTGGAATACTAATAGCTGGATACTAATAGCTGTTTTGCGAAATTGAGAGCAAATTCATATCTGTTCAGTTTTTTTATATACATGTACACCCTGTAGTCTGGGTCATATGTCCCGCAAGAGGGCCCCTTTTAGCGATCTTCATTAAGGTTTTCATACAAGTATCATTTCGCCTGTCGTTCAATCTTGGGCAGCCAACTGACTCCAACTTTCTACTCTGTGAACTGGTGATTGACAATTATTTGTTTCATGATAGTATTATGCATAGGAAGCCGTTTCTTGTGACAAGTCGCTAAATAGAATTTGTGGTTCATTAATTAATTTCAGGAAAATTTTCGCTGGGTTCTAAGAAGAAGGAAAAAAATCACCCAAACATCAATCCGGAGATTCGTTCCAAAGGAGGGTTATCCTGGGACGTCGAGGTAAGCTTGGGGTAAAGGGTGTTCGGTTGGGATGTTTGGTGTCACAACGGGTGGTGCATAACTTTTGAATTCGCATTTCAACTAAGTTTTGAATTTGGAATTATTCCCTTACACTATGGAGGTATAACGTCGATCCATGTCTGCAGCAATGATCTGGTTTCCTGTAGCAACACTGAACTATTTCATTAATACAAAGGTCGCAGGGTCTTAGCTGGGATTTTAGATCTTGGGCGTGTTTCTAAATGACTAGGGTGTGCACATGTCAATTACCTCAAATAGCCAAATTCACAGTTCTAGTTATGCTCGCCAACAACAGACAATACTTGTGGTTGTTCTATGCTTTGCAACCAAATACAAGGCGAGCATACGCTCATATTGGGCACTGACATTAAAATATTAAGTTATTTCAGCAACTCTTGGGGGTATTTAAAACCATTTTAACACCATACAGTTCCCATTATCCATCAAAACATTAAAACATCACAGATCACTTTTGCCAATTTCAACAACAACCGTAGATTTTACAAACTTTCTTACGACGTACAATAAATAGGAAGAAATTCTGTCCGTTATGAACCTACACGACCTTATATAAATAATGAAACCGCGTTCATTTAAATATCTAGCGTGTTTTTCCCCTTTTGACCGCGACAACACGGCCAACACGGCCCTCTAGCTAAGACCCTGAAAGGTCATAGGTTCGATTCCCATGCACCGTGGCCAGGCATATTTTTCAAGCTTGCCCGGTGTGGATATACACTCAGAGTAACATCACAAACATCATATTCACCTGGGTACGTAACACCAATACAGAAAAAATCATATTACTAGATTGCAATGGTATCGAAGGAACTAGACTCAGTTCCGAAATATCACATACTCGAACCGACCTGACCGCGTAGCTCAGTTGGAAGAGAATTGGGCTAGTATTCCAAAGGTCGTAGGTTCGATTCCCACCATGGCCAGGCATGTTTTTCAACCTTGCCCGGTGTGGATATACACTCAGAGTAACATCACAAACATCATATTCACCTGAGTACACAACACCAACACAGAAAAAATCACTGAATTATATTTATTTGTGACTTTTACTGCACCTCTACCGGGAACAATTTAGAACAATATAGAGCTATCCAGTATAAATAAAGGTAGTTTCTTCCTGTAGTAATACTGGATCAATAAGCGATGAATTAATAGTGCTATCCAGTATAAACAACGTCCGTTTTGGATTAGTTTATAGAATGTAATGCTCAGAAATGTTTTATTTGTTTCAAGGTTGAGGACCACCGTATTATGACAATGATCAAGTGTTTCTTGGTACTGTCTGTCGAGTCGTTCGTACTCATTGATGTCACAACTAGGGTAAGAAAGATTTGAGACATCTAATGAGTTTATATAATGGATATTATGAGTTGTAAAATACTCTCCTGATCCATTCTTGCTGAGTTTCTCCTTTCTCCTAATTAAATGTTTCTGATGTTTAGGAAGCGATCTTTTATATTCCCTGTAAAGCCATAATTGGATGGACACCAATGTCAAGGAAGTAAGTTTACCGATTACGTGCACTCCTGTGCTTCAAAAAAGTTTTTTTCCCCCATTGCCTTCAGAGAATTGGGCAACGACACCCTGTTTAATCGTACTGGGTGTCACTTTTTATAACTAAATCTCAAATAAAACGATCTTTAGGCTGAAGATTTTCCACGGTGTCGGAGATTGCTTAGTGTTAAATTTACCGAGTCCGGAGGATATTCCCAGCATCGTTAGAAGACTTGAGATGGTTACGATTGGTTGTCAGGTTTGTATGTTTGTTGTTTGCTTGCTTGCTTGCTTGTTTGTTTGTTTGTTGTTTGTTTGTTTGTTTGTTTGTTTGTTTGTTTGTTTGTTTGTTTGTTTGTTTGTTTGTTTGTTTGTTTGTTTGTTTGTTTGTTTGTTTTGCTTGTTTGCTGGTTTGCTTGTTTGCTTGCTTGTTTGTTTGCTTGCTTGCTTGCTTGCTTGCTCGCTCGCTTGCTTGTTTGTTTGCTTGTTTGCTTGTTTGTTTGCTTGTTTGTTTGTTTGTTTGTTTGTTTGTTTGTTTGTTTGTTTGTTTGTTTGTTTGTTTGTTTGTTTGTTTGTTTGTTTGTTTGTTCGTATGAACAAACACTCATTGTTGCGATTACTTAGACAATATCGATGACTCTACGACGGCACAACAATGGTCAACTTGGTTTCAATGTCCACAATGAAGGAATGGTGGTCGATGTGGAACAGAATGGTCTAGCTCAAGTTGCTGGTCTGAGACAAAGTTCTCGTTTAGTGGAGGTTTGTAAAATATCAGGATCTGGGAATCTCACTCGATATAATCAATTGTTGAAGGGAATGGACCATTTGCATTATAGACTAAATTTTGATCTAAACAAGTCTAGATAAAAATTCCATCACAGCTTGAAAGAGCATCACAAAATTAGTAATATTCCAAAGTTTTGTTGCGAAATGTTGTAAAATGCGGATAATATAGCCTTGTGAAGGCTATATTATCCGCATTTTACAACATTTCGCAACGAAACTTTGGAATATTACTAATTTTGTGATGCTCTTTCAAGCTGTGATGAAATTTTTGTCTAGACTTGTTTAGATTAAAATTTAGTCTATAATGCAAATGGTCAATTACTTTGTGAAATATACATGCACACTGGAATTACTCTCAATACGAATACTTGGTTACTTTTATGCCCGTATTAGAGAGATTTGACCGTATTGGTTCCTGTCTATATTTTCCCGAAGGTACATGCAATATTATGTCAAGGTGACCGATGTCAAGGCAATCGATATACCTGTACAGACTGACTTGCATATAGCACACAATATTGGCCCAGCTGTTGAAAGAGTTTTTTGTAGATGAAAATGCATGAATCCAGCTATATAGACTAAATTTTGATCTTGGCAAGAAGAACAAAATCCATCACCACAGCTAGAAAGAGCATGTTAACATTAGGAATATTGCAAAGTTTGGTTGCGAAATGTTGTTGTAAAATGAGGAAAATATAGCCGTGCGAAATTTGAAAATTTTGTATTAATTTGTATTACGCACGGGAAAATGCAACACTTTCGGCCCAAATGTGCTGCATTTTCCTGTGTGTAATACAAATTAATACAAAATTTTCAAATTTCACAGGACTATATTTTCCGCATTTTACAACATTTGGTGGAAATCAGCCTTAACCAGGCGCAGCTGCGAAAAATGGAACTATACAATTTAACGCAATATAATTTACAAGAAATATAATTAACACCAAAAATTTCTACATAAAACCTTTAATTCAGTGGAGTAAGATACCCATGCAAAATGCTGATACTTGATATTGATCCAGACTATTTCCAATCTGCGAGCGTGTCTCATTCGAGTCTTCCGAGACTAAACGCGTGAACACGTATATTGGCTTGTCTCTGCTTTCGCCGCATTGGGCGTATAGTTTATGATCGTTTCCACCCAAATAACATTTTCGGATAACTCGCATACAGATAACACTGTTCATGTAATTGAACAAAGGTAGCAAACCTTTTACATTATGTGTCTCAGCGAATCGGTTGGCAACGTATGCAATGAAGATATCACCTGGAATTCAAAGCGTCAGTAATAAACTTTGAGCTGGTTGAAATTTTGGTGAGACTTGATGTGAGCTTTGGCTAGCTTGACCGATAATAGCCAGTCAACTTTCATGCAAACTCTCGCTTTTCAACTCTTATCAACTCTCATTCTCTTTTCACGGTGTTGTTATACGAGGCCTACTGTGTTCATATCACCGTCTCTGTCATGTTTAGATCTCCAGCCAGGCAGTGGCGATGATGTCCTACGAAGACATGATTGCAGAACTTCGTCGTCCAGGTCATGTGCCTGTTGTGGTTATTCCACCTTTCCCCAGTGGCAAGCCAAGAAAGTAAGTCAAGAGTTTCAACTAAATAGTTTGGTGAATATGTAGCTGGTTTATTGATGGATTAGATTATTTATTATAAGAAATACACATACAGCTAGAGCTATGATTGAAGGATTCGACAACAGAACTAGAATCCCATACTCAGTCCATCCATCTAATACTAAGACACGACTAAAAGGTTATGTATTACCTGAATTATAATTTACTGATGCATTAGGAATGGTATATATATATATATATATATATATATATATATATATATATATATATATATATATATATATATATATATATATATATATATATATATATATATATATATATATATATATATATATACTTAGTTTTAGATGCATTAATTGCAGTGAGGACTAACATGACCAGGCAAAAAACGTTTCGGCTTGGCCAGACATTTGTCCTTCGAAGTCAAATAATTATTTCCAAATAGGTCTGCTATTGATCTCGTTGTATTATCCATTCACATCATGATGTATTATTTTTTTCAAATCAGAGGTGTTCAACTAGCAGCTGTGAACTACAACGCAACCGCAGAGTCGCTGAGTACGTTCCGTGCGTCCAAGTCCCAGCAATCGCTGGACCGCAGTCCACACTCGAGCATACACGAGGCCGAACACTCTCACTACTCAAGTACTTCCACTGTCAGAGTATTTGATTCCACCCAGGATCTTCCTCCGAAGGACGTGGACGAAACGAAAGCAAATGGCACACCGTGGATACGAAGACCTGGTTCCCCTGCTAACAGTGAAGACAAGTAAGGAAAATTATCATTTCTGTTAGGAGGATGTTTTAAGTCTTGCGCTGCAGGGCTCAAAATAACGGCCGGTCAACGGTCAAAAATGCCTCTTGACCGGTCACTTTATTATCTCACCGGTCATTTTGGACCGGCCACATTTTCATGCCTTCCGATGTGATCGCTGACGTCTTGAATTAAAACATGAAACTATAATATATCGAAACAAGTTTCTAATAGTTTGTTTCACTGTTAGTGTAAGCGTATCAATGACTGGTCAAAAACAGATTTTGACCCAGCTAAAATCAAGTTGACCGATCATTTTGACCGGAGACCTGTCTCCCGTTATTTTGAGCCCTGCCCTGACTACGACGCAAGCATAAGCACAAGCATAAGAGGGATCAAACGTATTGATTTCTTATGTCCTGTTTTCACTATATAAACATAAGCATAAGAATATCAAAACGTTGCGTTCTTTCCCTTACGCTGTGTTGTTTCTTACATAGAGATTATAAATAACACTAGAGGGGGCATCGAATCTTAATTCAGTCTGAGAAAGGGAACGCGGCTATTGGCGGCAAAAAATTAAAATGCTAAAATAAGAGTGAGTTTGAGCCAAAATCTCTAATCGTTTGTTTATGGCAGTTACGTCCCGTTTTGATTTTTAACAAAAATTTTTACTTCAATTTTGTCTATAACACATTTTTGAGAGCTCTCCAAAATAATGCTGATGTCAGCAATTTTGATCTTTCAAGAGGAGGTAATCGCTTGAATTCAAAATGAGGGGATTTTTATAGTAATGACATGCAAAACATATAAAACACCCAGTTTTGTGACTATTGTTTTAAATCTTTCTGATTTCAAATGTAACCCAAGAATTATGTGGTGTTCATCCGGGATCTTAATCCCCCCCCCCCCTCATTACTGCGCTACCAAATTTCACCCTCGATGCCCCCTCTAGTGTTATTTATAATCGCAATGATTTCTTATGCTTGCGCTTCATCTTATGTTGTAGTGAGGACACAGCGAGAACAACACATGCATAAGAACATCAAAGCATTCTTCTTCCTTATACTTATCATAGATATCTTATATAAACTAGATAGCGCATCTCTTTTAGTAAAATTGAAGCCAAGAATATTCCAGCGGTTACCCCCCATTTGAATAGATGGCGGCCATGTTGGAGTTTCCCACTCGCTAATAAACGCTTAAAAAACAACAATAACTTTCATCATTTGAGTAGTTTGAAAATGTATTTGGAATAGGTTTAACTTAATGTTTAAGTTCCCTGTTTAAGAAATAGAAAACATACGAGTCTTCTCATTTCATGGGAATATCCTGAGTCTGCTATCACGGCTTCAATTGCAGAATAATTAGATGCACTATCTAGTGTGTATAAGATATCTATGGTACTTATACGCTTGCATTGTGGTGAGGACCAGGCTTAGCGTGATAGGATGTTGGTGGTTAGTGCATGTGTTTGTCACGTGTGTGACAGGCGTTTGATTCCTGTGATATGCAGTTGTCTGATTTAATTTCACCTCAGTCGCACGTGGGAAGAATGCTTTCTGCCGGTGGCAATGCTAGCCATAGCAACAGGTCATGCTATGCAAATTTTCAATGATTCGCATTATTCAAACTTTTCGATATATATTGTCTTGAAACTATTTATAGATGCAGGTTTATTAGCATAGAATGACCAGTTGCCATGGCTAGCTTGCCACTGCTTCCTGCGCAGCTTTTCTTCGGGTACATCGGTTTCCTCCTGTAGTAGCACTAGGACAATATAGGATGACACTTACTGCAGACTCTCTAGGGGAAAGAACTATTTAAAACTGATAAAACTATAAAAAGAAAGCTAACACTGCGACAATTTTGGCTGGTACTTACTGCAGATTTTCTAGGGGAAAGAACTGTTTAGAACTGATATAGCTACCCAGTATTAACAAAGCTAGGTTATGTTTCCTTATGTAGTAACACTGGGACAGTATATGGTGGCACTTATTGCAAGCGCTTTGGGAGAGAGGACAGTATGCCGCTTCCTGTAGTAACATTGGAGTAACAAAGAATTACCTTTACAATCTCTAGGAGGAACAGATATCCTGTTGAAATAAATTATATGATATGCATCTACGTACTGAGATTGAGTTAAACTACATAGTTATGAAATAGGTCGTATTTATGCCGCGACAACATCGATTATGTAATTTAAATCTGGACAAACATTCTTAACATAGTTTATAATCTTCCAGGTACTCAGAACACGACAGCCCGGTGAGGTCAGGATATACGCACGAACGTAATACATCGTCAAATTATGGCAGTAGCTACACACTGACGGGTAAACGACCTGGAAACGACGCCAACGGTGGGGAGACTGTGCTATCACTGAAATATATACCCAGACCTGACCACTCTACTCCTAGGACGGCAGAGAACCGCAGGATTGATGAATACAAAAGCCCGGAATCACAAACCAGAACTTATCTTTATACACGGACGCCTCCGAAAGACAAGCGAGCTGCGGCAGATTTACTTCAGTCAAAGTTAAGTGCACATACTCGCACTGATCCCGGCCATCCCCGAAATTTCCACCGCGCCCCTCCGTACACTGGTCCAAAACCGTACCGCCCCCCGGAATATACACCTCAAGACGAACGACGTGCTAATCATCAACACAAACCCATCCCGCTAAAAAAACCTACGGGGTTGGAAGGGCTACATCCACAGCTTGAAATATTCCACTCGAGGTCGAAATCGGAACCCTGGGACCCAGGGTATACCCAAGATGGCCTTAGACGGACGTACAAAGAAACAACCCTCGGACCACATATCACGACTGTCGAGACTTTCCGAGACAGTTACGATAACGCCATGTCGGATACTGTCGATCAGATTGAGAAAGCTTTCGGAGGGCCGTCGGCTCATACCGATCATTCGCCGTCTACGCGGCGCACGCGGAAGAATCGTAGACCACCGGCAGTACCTCGCCTGGTCGACTCGGAGAACTATTTATCAAGCACTTCGAATGAGTCTCTGCCCACAAGCGAACCTTACAGTGATTCCGAACGTGAACGAAGCTCGAGCGGACCCAAAAAACCCGTCTCGTCCAAACGGCTTGTCAGTAAGAAGATCGGCGTGCGTGCCGAGATCACAAGCACCACGGCAAAGAGCCCCGGGGCAATTGACACTCATAATACCCGGGAGGTCGGTTCTCAGAGCATCCAAAGCTCGACCACTGTATTTGTGCGATCGAAATCGAACGAGGCGCCCGCCGAAAACACTGGGAGTTTAAAACGAACCCCTCGTGGTCAAAGTAACACTTTACCTCGAACTGTAAATCGTGAAGAGGTCACCATTTCTCGTGAAAATCCTGGGGCGAGTACCCCCCGGAAAAGGCAAGGACTTATCCGCGAACATTCTCAGACCGATAACGCGTACGTGTACTCCCCCCGGCCCTTCCATATGCAGGGAGTCCATACCCGGGGGGCAAGTCTGGAAACGGAGGCGTTTCAGTTTCCCGATCCGGACACGAGACGTATTCGCGACGAAAAGCAGAAAGTTGTTTCGCAAACGAAAATCTGTTTGATGTCGCCGACCGGAAGTACGGCGCAGCAGAGTGGCGAAAACTCTGTCCAAGGCTCCGCGCGGTCACCGAGGGTACCGGAGAAAGATACCCGGAGTAACAAAGTCCCGTACTTTGTAAAGAACAAACAGCACGCGGGGATAACCCCGGAGTTAGTAGACGAACGGATTTCTAAGATAGCCGGAAAACAGAGGTCTAAGTCATCGCCCGATGCAGGAAGGCGACAAAGCCGTGAAGGTGATCCGACTTCGAACCGACGAACTCCAGGTGACGGCGCGCAAATCAAGCAATATGATTCACAGTCTTCGCTGAGTAAAGACAGTAAGGGTGATCCATTATTAAGCGAAGTCTCGTATCTCCTCAGTGCTACTGACGCGATGTCTAAAGATGCGTCCTCGACGCTCGCGCACACTGAAAAAATGTTAGCCTCGTGGGAGAAAGTTTTGTTGAAAACGAAAGACGAGATCGACGGCGGGCATGTTAAGAAAATGACGCACTCCAATACGACATCAAATTTGAGAACGAGGCTACCATCAGGTGAGATTCACTTTATTTTTCAAAATATTTAATATTGAACTTTCTCTAGCCTCATTTCATTAATAGACTTTTTTGTGTTATTAATGACGCGAGCTGTTTAGACAATACATTGTAGTCTTTGAACCTGATGTTTTGGAGTAAACTCCGAAACGTGGTTTTTAGTGCAAAGTTGACATCGTCGAGGTGAACTAGTTATCAATGCAACCTAAAAAAGCAAAAGAAATTTCGGCAAACATGATATTACTCGGAATAAATATAACTTTGCTAACTTATGTGGTAATTTTAACCCCCTTCTTGACTTCTAATGCTATTTCCTGACTTGCAGACAAAACATTCAACTGTCAGCTTACTTGACGCTGTTTTGATTTTTCTATTTTGTAAGATGGCACACCAATCACCGTCACGATGGGACTCGGCAAGGCAGCCATGAACAGCGCTCCAAGAAGACACAGCTTTGATGAGAGAATTCTATCTTTGAATAACACGCCTGTTGAGGTAAGAATTTATGTGGATTGAGGGATACTGTACAACTACCTGAAAAATATACCCAGAACTTCTGGGTAGCCAGAACATCGACGTTTCGAGCGAAGGCCCTTATGATAATTTATACGGGAGATTTTTTCACAGAGCTTGAGCAGGGTTCGTAGCGGTCTTTGAAATCCGTGAAAGTCTTTAAATTTGAATGCAGGTCTTTAAGGTCTTTGAAAAGTCTTTGAAGTGTGTGAAAAAGCGAAGAAAGTCTTTAAAAGTCTTTAAATTCTTTAGTGATTATTTGATTATACGATTTCCTAGCTAATGAAATAGATTGACGAAAAAGTGCATTTTAGGATGTGATTTGACGGGACTAATTACCTGGTAAAAATGGTGCTTATACATCGCAATTTTTCGACACCTGATTGCTCTCGAAGGTCTTTGAAAAGTCTTTGACAATAGACAGAAAAAATCTTTGAAAGTCTTTGAAATTTTTTGGTCTTGGAGACTACGAACCCTGTTGAGGTGTTTTATACAATTAACAGCTTTCACGTAATTATCGCCTTGACTTTCTCTTAAATATAAATTTGTGTCCGTTTGAAAAGTATTAATATAATACTACTGTTCAAACGGACTGAGCGCCAGGGCTCTTCCCTTCAAACTGTTTAAAGAGTAAAATTGTCTGGCGTTAGACATATTATAATGATAAAGTATGGCGCATTTCGGAGCAATGGAACTTAATGGGTTAAATAGATATATGGGCAGATTGATTAATCTTTGAAGGATTTTGTAGATGGAAATTATCCGAGTGGGAATTTATGTACATTTATTAGACTTAACCAGGAAAATGCAACTATGGGTTCCTGGCCGGAATCAAACCTGCGGCCCAGAGTTGATATATATATGCTATGCTTGTGTGATGTTACTCTGCGTGTATATCCACACCGGGAAGGCTTGGAAAATATGCCTGGCCACGGTGGGATTCGAACCTACGACCTTTGGAATACTAGCCCAATGCTCTGCCAACTGAGCTACACGGTCAGATCGGTTCGAGTATGCGATATTTCGGAACTGAGTCTAGTTCCTTCGATATCAGTGTAATCTAATAAATATCAGTGTAATCAAATATCATGATCATTAGATTACACTGATATCGAAGGAACTAGACTCAGTTTCGAAATATCGCATAGGCCTATAAATTTCACTTTAAAAAAAATCTCCAGCCATCAAGTGAGAAAAATAAAAAATTTCTTCTATAGGTGTACAAAAATATATATATATTACCTCTTAGAACCCCCCATCACTTTTCAAATGGTCCGTCCCTAAATGTATATAAATTTCCACTCGGTAATTTCCATCTACAAGACCCTTTAACTATTATATTCAATCGAGTGAAATGCCATCAAAATGTTGAGATTGATTAACCCATTAATCGCATTGCTCTCTCTTGACAAGTAAAATCGTCTGGCGTTGGACAGAGTAAAATGAGTGAGGCGCATTAAGAGGCAATGTAACTTTATGGTCAAGGAGAAATTGCGACAGTCGAGTTAATTTATGGGCGCTTATTTCCGTGGTTATCGAGACAATGATACGGTGCTCTTTTTCTTTCTATTTTGCTTATGAAATAATGAGTTTGAGAATAGTGCTTCACTTTCCATTCTTCCAACCGTGTGATTTTCTAGACTATCGTCATGACTAAAGTATTTTACTAAAATTATGTTTTAAAATCTTCTCTGTAGAGTAAAGAAAGTATGTCAAGTTCACGTCAAACGTAAGTTCTTTAGTATAATATGCACGTAATTTATCATATTGACCCTCGATAAAACCTAATTCTTAGAGAATTAGCGCAAATGCTGTACGTGTAAAGATCCATTCTGACTAATGTATTTGTCTTCAACAGATTATTATCTTCGAAAGATGGTTTCTATCGAATATTCGAATTGGAAAGCAAAGTAACAGAGTTGTCTTTCTTCTTGCAAAAGGTACAAATTCATTGTTTTAAGACCCCAGTTACACGATACCGGATTGGGAGCGAGTCGAGCGACATCAACTATAAGACGCTTTTCGGCCTCTTACAACTGTTCATATTTGAAGTTTTTGACTAAATCTGTTATATTATCATAATTTTAAGTGCTAAACCTCCCTCGTAACTGTTAGACGTAACTGTAAAATTTGATGTCGCTCCGATGCAAATCCGGTATCGTGTAACAGCCTAAAGCTACCGATGTTTTCTGTCTGCAGACTTATGCATGACGCAATTGAATACCATACTAGGCCGTGACATGGCATAACACATGATATATCAATGTCAAACTCTATGATAACTTGTCTTATACAATGCTTTGCCATATCATACCATACTTCGCCTTACAATACCACACCATATCATATTTTGCCAAACTATACCAAACCTGACAATATTTTGTACCATAACAGTAATCATCTGTCATAACTTCTTTCATACTATATCATACCATAAGACGACATATATCATACCACACCATACACCAACATACCATACCATACTCATATACTACACCATACACCAACATACCATACCACACCATACCATACCATACCATACCATGCATACCATACCATACCATACCATACCATACCATACCATACCATACCATACCATACCATACCATAAAAAATACTCGAGGTGCAGGCGAGTGTATAATACTCGAGGTGCAGGCGAGTGTATTTTTACGCTTTCTAAAGTCGAGCAACATCCCAAGTGCATGGATCACGCTATCCTGTTTGGAAAACCATTTGGTAATTGTTTTATAAAATAACTACAGTGAAACAATGACATTTTGAGAATCCCGCGAAGGCATTTAATTCCTCGTGCAGGATAGCCTGATCCTGCACGGCTATTGACCAATCAAATTGCGTGTTTCACTGTAGTTATTATATTAAACACAATACCATACCATGCCATACTATACCACACACTACAAGATCATACCATGTCATACAATACCATACATCTTACATATATCTTACCATACAAAACCCTATTATACCATTTTACATGAAAACGAAAAACCAACCCTTACTTTATTCTTCAGGAGAGAGAGGAAAATATCGAACTAAAACGAAAACTTATGAAACTCGAGAAAGGTCGAACATCGAGAAGATAACCCTATATGTGTCCAAGTATTTTAAATTGTGATGAATTTTAACAATTTTAAATTGACAGTTAGTTTAATATTGTGTTCTGAATTAAGAAATTATCAACGTAACATACAAATAGCAGATGCTTAATATACGGGGTAGGTTTCATTAAGCGTTATGCCGCGGCAGATTGTGGTCAACTTTGGAACTTTTAGCACTTATAAGGCTATTTACACTATCTAAGTAATTCTGTGATCACTGTAGGAATTTTGCATAGGTAAAGTTGTGAAGAATTTGATTTCTTACAATTTTGAATTTACCTATGCAAAATTCTTAAGCCCAGGGCAAACTAGGAAACATTGTTGTGGAAACATTTGTGATTCTCGATGTTTCCTCAAATGTTTCCATGTTTGCCCACCCGTGGAAACATTGTTGCGGAAACAAAATTTGCTTCCCGAGAAACAAAAATGTTTCCTAGCAAATTCAGAAACATTTGATGTTTCCCTATGTTTCCCACTAATGTTTCCTAGTGTTTGCCCACTCTGGGAAACATGGCGAAACATTGGTATAGGAAACAATGTTTCCGCAACAATGTTTCCTATAGTTTGCCCAGGGCTTTACTGTTATCACAGAAACGTTGATAGTATAAACCAGCCTTTATAAGAGCAAGAAAGCAAACTAAACTACATCTTGCAAGCAATTCAATTTATTTGCTTGAATACAAGACTACTACGTAATATTTCATAATCATATCCAACTATGAGGACTGGACTAGATTTTAAGTCCGCGCAATGGACCTTTTGCATAAAAGACTAAAATTTGATCTAAACAAGTCTAGACAAAATTTCATCACAGCTTGAAAGAGCATCACAAAATTAGTAATATTCCAAAGTTTCGTTGCGAAATGTTGTAAAATGCGGATAATATAGCCCTGCGAAGTTTGCCGTTTTTCAGTCATTTTGTGTTACAAACGGGAAATTGACAGCCCCAATAGGGTATTGGGCTGTCAATTCCCCCCGCGTAATGCAAAATGACTGAAAAACGGCAAACTTCGCAAGGCTATATTATCCGCATTTTACAACATTTCGCAACGAAACTTTGGAATATTACTAATTTTGTGATGCTCTTTCAAGCTGTGATGAAATTTTTGTCCAGACTTGTTTAGATCAAAATTTAGTCTATAATGCAAATGGTCCATTTGATTTGACTTGAAATCTAGTCGAGTCCCCGAATTGGAGGATTTGGAATTACATCTCATACGACTAAATCACTACTCGAAGTGAGGTGAATTAATTTTGATCTAGTCCAAGGACCGACTTAATTGACCACGTACCATTTGCTGAAACAATAGTGCTTAATGAAACTTGACTGTATCAAACCTGTCAGCATAGAGTTAACCGTCTGATATTTTTAAATGCAGATTTTATTTCTAACAATTGTACATATATAGACCAATATACAATGAGATATTTTAAGTCAAGTATGTTTTAGCGACGTGCTTAAAGCATAAAGTGTAATAGTTACAGATTTTAAATATGAATGGACATTTATTCTTGGTTTGCACCTGACGTCGTGTCGGCCATTTTGGAGGATCGTCAGCACAAGAATATCATTAGCAGCTATTGCATTTGAACTGTGTTTTCCTCAAACATGGCCGACATTGTCTCAAGGAATTGAATGCAAACCACCAATAGATGGGCAGTTTCAATTCTGGAATAGTTTAGTTTGTAATAACGCGAGAGAATTTCTATCGAGGACCAGAGAATACTTGCCTTTATATTAATATATATTTATATTTGTCGTGTATAAATATTGTCTATATTTGTGATGTAGTTTAGTATTACCCAGGATAGAAAATTTGTTTGATGTTCAGGCCACTGATCTAGATCTCACTTCGCGAGAAAAACGAAAGGTAGTTTTTACTGCTCATATCTTGGAAAAAGTTATTTCGCTGACCTCAAAATGGCATTTCGTCCAAAAAATTTTCTTCAAGATTTGTTTAGAAACAAACTTGGAGTAGGGTTTGGTTAGGATAAGGGTTAGTGTTTGGAATAGGGTTGGTGTTAGTAAAACCGTTGCTTTGTTACGTTTTGTCACTCTGAGGCCAGCGAAATAACCTCTTCCGCATATCGTGTGGGGCATGTACTTAGCAACGCCAAGTGCCCTAAATGGAGGCATTCACCCCCCTGGAACATTAAATTTTAATACGTTTGCAGGGGGTGACGAATTCTCTTTAGGGCATTTGCTAAGAACATGGATCCCTTACGCTCAAATTAGTGTAAGGAGTGACCTCTCAGGGTTACATTTTCATGAAAAGATAACCGATCTCAGGGTTTGAGTTAGTGTTAGGATTTATATTAGGTTAAGATTAGGATTAAAGCCGGATTCGAGTATAGGATTAAGGTTTTGGATTATAAATCGCGGGCTCTGTGTTATTTCGGCCTGGGCCGAGTAATCAAGATATTTTCAAAATGGCGGCAAATTGAAATATTTTTATTTTAGAAAAGAGTACCAAATTTGTTTTTATTATGTCTCGTGAACGTGTCGTCGCTTTGGTAGACATGGATTGTTTTTATGTACAAGTGGAGCAACGTTTGAATCCATCTTATGCTGGCAAGCCCTGCGCTGTTGTACAATATAACACTTGGAAAGGAGGGGGGTAATTATTTTAATATTTTTTAAATAAAAATATTAATGACTTGTTTACTGAAAGAAAGCTAGCCGACTGGTGAATGCATTGTTGTAATTGAACATTTTATACGCTATGATAGTTTAGGGCATAGTGTTTGTCCGTGTGACCGTGTATAAATTCAAATAAACTATATTCTTAACTATATAGCTCAAATGCTCAATAACATAATTTAATAGAAGAAATTTTACATTAGGCCACATAAAAAAAATAGTTGGTTAGCGTCCCCGCCCGCCCACAAAAAAGTTAATGATACAAAATAAACGTAGGAGTACACTCAAATAGAAAAAGATAGTGCAAAACTCTGAAACTAATCGCTCCTCGCTTGCATTCACTGGTTTATTGGAGCAATTGTAAAGTTTTGAAACTCTATTATCTCCCCTGAATAGAGTTTGCAGTGCCTTGTCATGCAAATAGCTTGCTTGCAAGGAACGTTTGGAATTTTTACGAACTTTATTTTTAGTTTTTAATTCTTTCAGGAAATAGACTTGCCTAGATTTAATCTTTATGCCCCAAATATTATTTACATCTACATATGAGTTGCGTCATAAATTGTACTCGAATTCAAACAATGCAATGTCAATGACTTTATAAAAGCAAAAGCATATTGTATTGGCCAATTGGGTTTACACTTTTACAAGTTCATTTAACCTTAACTCTCTCAAGTCTCAACAGACAATCGGACATGCTAAATCCATTGATATGACAACTTCAAAAAAATTTTTCAGGGATACTTTGTTTTCTGCTCTCTAGACTCCCCCTCGTGGCTCTAGTGCTCCACCCCTAGAATATAGACCTTACTGGGGTTTGGTGACACTTTGTGTTGCTTCAGTCACCTGCTCACGGCTCACCCCCCTAAAATTTCTGGCACCACCCCAGTAAAAAATATGAAAATCCGTCTATGGATGGCTATGCAAAATGTTGTCAAGTTTATATTAAAGAATATGTTTTAGGGGATTTGTGATTTTTCAACATTATTTTTGACTAATCCAGTGTTCTCAAGAGTATATTTCATGGAAAAAGACATCATGCACAGAAATTAACACAAGGCACGACGTCTTTTTACCCCCGCTCCTTCCTTCCAGATGTTACATTGACGTCATTTTGGCAGAAAGTCCAGAAACATATTTGACCCTTCCCTTACACAGCAAAAAACACCTAGCCTATAACAATGTTGGAACAGTTAAACGCCTTTCAATGAACGATGAGCTAAGAATTGACCTACAAGGAAAACCTATCAAAAACGTGACATCCTATAAATATCTTGGTGTCTACTTCAGGGGCGTAGCTAAGGGGGGGTGCGGGGGGTGCCGCACCCCCCCAAAGCTGTGTCCGTCGGCACAATAAATCAGTTGTCGACAAAATGAATTGGATCAAGCCAATAGACAATACCTGATTGGAATGAGATTGTTTGTAGAAAATTTGTAGAAAATGCGAGATCGAAAAGATGGATATGTCGACTGAAAGCTCGGTCCTTTTCCAAACATTCAGCCAAATTGGCCAAGAACTTATTACTCTAATACGCTATTTAATAGTATTAAATTTTCTTGCAATTTTGTGAAATATATATATGATACCATAGGAAACTCGAAGCACATGTGCGTGTTGACTGTTGATGCGTCTGCGCTTCATTTTATAATTTTGTAAAGCCAGTAAAGGTCTTAGAAATTACACCTAACGGTCTTATATACAATGAGAAATACGAAGATGATTTAAAAGAATGGACAGTAGCAAGCAAAAACGCAAACGGAAGAGAGAGAAACTGACGTGTTTAGTTTGCAATCGGTCGTTTGATGACGATTGGATGTGCTTTTTTGACATTTATACCAGGTATTTTAAGGAAATATTTCGCCTATTTAAAAAATAAATTATCTTACTACTCGGATTTCATCGTTATACATCACTTAAAAATGAATACGGTTCGTTTTGACCACGCCCTAACAACGTGCTAGCCACGCCCTTTTGTCGGCAAAAAGTTGTCTTGCACCCCCCGAAAAGGATAGTCTTCGCTCCGCCCCTGGTCTACTTAGATCGAGGTTTATCATTTATTGAACATATAAATCGCCTGAAGATGAAAGTAGCTAAACGGTTAGGTGCTTTGACCAGAAGTAGACCATTTCTAACTAGTTATGCTGCTATTAAAGTCTATACAGCTATGGTACTGCCGGTCTTTGACTACTGTGACGTTGTTTGGGACACTCTCAGCGACTCACAGCAACACAAACTAGAAAAATAGGTACGCAATGCGTACATGTGGCTAGCCTGGTAAACTTTAACTCCCCAAACCCTCCTCCAAACCCAGAAAGCCTGCCATGCTGGTTAACTTTAAATTTAATAGTAATAAAAAGACACACCACGATGGTCGGAATGCGCAAATTTTCTCCCACTTGTGCAGGCTCATTTTGTCAGTTGAGTTTCACGGTACACTTGAAAAATACCGTGTCATATCTCGTCGCTTCCCATGTAAATAGCGAATCATGAATAACACTTGAATAAACACAAATATGTGAATTTGCGCGCTGGGCTTTTGAATATAACGATTGTAAAAAGTTTCCGTGTGATCTATTAGCAATTTAAAAGATACCTAAACTGTAATACTGCCATATATTTAATCTCGCGTTTGTTATTTGCGCAGCAGCAGTTTTGCCGTGGAATTAAAATTGCGTGTCATATGATATTTTTAATAGGCAAATAGCGTTTGAGATATAGCAACATTAGCAAACAAATACACTGAAATCTTGGTTAGCACACAAACTTTTACCACTTTTAATGCAATATTACTAAACTGTAATACTGCCATATGTATTTAATCTCGCGTTTGTTATTTGCGCAACAGCAGTTTTGCCGTGGAATTAAAATTGCGTGTCATATGATATTTTAATAGGCAAATAGCGTTTGAGATATAGGCCTAGCAATATTAGCAAACAAACACACTGAAATCTTGGTTAGCACACCAACGTTTGCCACTTTTAATGCAATATTAGTCAACTTATAAGAGAACGTGAGACAAATCATGCTGAATTATTCGACTATATAACTCCAAAGACAGACGCAATAACCTTTATAGGTTTATTACAAATATGTAGACATTTGAGACGCCGTCAATGTCTGAAGAAAGGTATACTTAAAGCCTTTAAATAAACGAGTTCGATGTTACGATGTACAGTTTCTGGTCTTTTACCATAATTATCCAATGCTGGTTTTATTCGCTGCATTATAAACGTACCTCCTCCAAACAATACCCCTTCTTTAAAATACCAAACATTTCGAATGCAATTGAGATATGAAATCTCAACAAGAAGACAATTCAAGATGGCAAATGGCCCGCAAGTCAGTCAAAAGTGCAAATCAAAACCCATATTTACACGGCGAGTACGCGCAATTTCTGATCGGTTTCGACACCATAGGTTGAAGCCATGAAGATAAACTTTATTTTAATTTTCTGGTTTAACAACCTCACTAGTACTGCGTCGTAACAACATCACTAGTATTGCCTCGAAATGCAAATGTGAAATGTCGGCAGAAAAATACGGGCGCTTCCGATTGCTCCCGATACTTTACGAAAATCCGGACTGGACACATGATCATCATCGCTCATCGCGTTTGTGTAGTGTGTACTATGTGATAATGGCTAGCCCGCAAACGGGCTAGCCACAAAAACTACAAACAAGAGCAGAAAAAAATCATAAACATGTATCAGTCTTACGAACTAAACATCCACTGGCCTTCGCTAGTTTCTCGCAGGAAAATGCATACTGCCATTTTAGTTTTTAAATGTTTAAGCAATAGAGTTCCATCTTTCTTACAAAACTATATTGACTTATCTAATCCTGGCAGATTAACGAGAAACTGCGCGCATAAATGTGATATACCTAAAGTTAAACTGGTATTTGGCAGTAAGGGCTTTTATGTTAGAGGCCCACAAGTTTTTAACAGTTTGCCTTTGCGTATTCGGGAAGAAAACGTTTTCACAAACTTTAGGAAGAGAGCCATAGACCACTTTAGTAATCCATAGATGATCTTCCTAGCATAGATTATAGTAAACTTTACGATCATTAATTTACTATATTCTGTAAAATCTTCATATAATCTCTTAAAAACAAATTTGTAACTAGTTAGTATTCAGGGCTCACATTGATACCAGTTCTTCTGAACTGACGTGACTACCCTGACAAAATAAAGTTGATTTGATTTGATTTGAGAACAGGCCTGGACAATATTTTGCTGCCCATATTGCTCCTGGTTGTTAACAATATTGTTCAGCATTGCTCACCTGAACAATATTGTTAACAACTAGGAACAATATGGGCAGCAAAATATTGTTCAGGCCTGTTTTCAACAACATTGTTACAGGCTTGGCATTTTTTGCAGTGTACTGCACCAGAGTAGTCAAAATATTTGATGGCATAGTTTTGCATGGTAATTAAATTTCATGGTCGGTTTCTTCCCCAACACCCTCACCCAAACCTGCCCTCTGCTAACCCTTACCTTTGTAACACTATTTCTTACTTGTGTTTGTCAAGAATTATAGCAGTAAGTTATGAAGCTCGGAAATTTGGTGTGACAAGACAAATGCGGGGAGACGAAGCGAAAGAGAAGTGTCCAGATATCATTCTTGCTAGAGTCCCGGAGTTAAGGGGCAAGGCTGACTTGACACGATATCGAGATGCCTGTGTAGAAGTCATGGACGTCCTGCAAACCTTTGCTGATGTATGTGAACGTGCCAGCGTTGATGAAGCTTATCTCGACCTGACGGCCAGAGTTGAAAAGTAAGCAATGTTATTGTACATTGTATGATTATATTTTGAGATACAGTATTGTGATTGACTAGATGATTTATGGATTAGATGACTATAGTCTTTGACTATGGTGATTATAGTCTTTCACTATATATAATGACTGAGATGACTATTGTCCTTGATTATAATGACTATAGCCCTTGACTATGATGACAATAGTCATTGATTAGATGACTATAGACCTTGAGTAGATGACTATAGACATAGTCCTTAACTAGATGACTATAGTCCTTGATTAGATGACTATAGTCCTTGAATAGATGACTATAGTCCTGGACTAGATGACTATAGTCCGATTTAGATGACTATAGTCCTGGACTAGATGACTATAGTCCTGGACTAGATGACTATAGTCCTTGATTACATGACTATAGTCCTGGACTAGATGACTTTTGTCCTTGATTAGATGACTATAGTTCTGGACTAGATGACTATAGTCCTTGATTAGATGACTATAGTCCTTGAATAGATGACTATAGTCCTGGACTAGATGACTATAGTCCTGGATTAGATGACTATAGTCCTTGATTAGATGACTATAGTCCTTGACTAGATCACTATAGTCCTGGACTAGATGACTATAGTCCTTGATTGGATGACTATAGTCCTTGATTACATGACTACAGTCCTTGATTACATGACTATAGTCCTGGACTAGATGACTTTTGTCCTTGATTAGATGACTATAGTTCTGAACTAGATGACTATAGTCCTTGATTAGATGACTATAGTCCTTGAATAGATGACTATAGTCCTGGACTAGATGACTATAGTCCTGGATTAGATGACTATAGTCCTTGATTAGATGACTATAGTCCTTGACTAGATCACTATAGTCCTGGACTAGATGACTATAGTCCTTGATTGGATGACTATAGTCCTTGATTACATGACTACAGTCCTTGATTACATGACTATAGTCCTGGACTAGATGACTTTTGTCCTTGATTAGATGACTATAGTTCTGAACTAGATGACTATAGTCCTTGATTAGATGACTATAGTCCTTGAATAGATGACTATAGTCCTGGACTAGATGACTATAGTCCTGGATTAGATGACTATAGTCCTTGATTAGATGACTATAGTCCTTGACTAGATCACTATAGTCCTGGACTAGATGACTATAGTCCTTGATTGGATGACTATAGTCCTTGATTACATGACTACAGTCCTTGATTACATGACTATAGTCCTGGACTAGATGACTTTTGTCCTTGATTAGATGACTATAGTTCTGAACTAGATGACTATAGTCCTTGATTAGATGACTATAGTCCTTGAATAGATGACTATAGTCCTGGACTAGATGACTATAGTCCTGGATTAGATGACTATAGTCCTTGATTAGATGACTATAGTCCTGGACTAGATGACTTTTGTCCTTGATTAGATGACTATAGTCCTTGACTAGATGACTATAGTCCTGGACTAGATGACTATAGTCCTGAACTAGATGACTATAGTCCTTGATTGGATGACTATAGTTCTGGACTAGATGACTATAATCCTGGACTAGATGACTATAGTCCTTGATTGAATGACTATAGTTCTGGACTAGATGACTATAATCCTGGACTAGATTACTATAGTCCTGGACTAGATGACTATAGTCCTTCATTGGATGACTATTGTCCTTGAGTCCTTGACTAGATGACTATAGTCTTTGCATGACTATAATGACTATAGACCATGACTGAGATGACTATAGTCCTGGACTAGATGACTATAATGACTATATAGTCCTTGACTGGGATGACTATAGTATGTGACTAGATGACTATATCCTTGACTCTATGACTACTCCTTGACCAGATGGCTATAGTTTAGATGGCTATAGTTTGTCTAGATGGCTATAGTTTTTGACTATGATGATGACTTTAGGGAAAATTTTAGATACAGAAAAAACCTTTGTCTAAATGTTCCAGACAGCTCGAGAATATCACTCTAGAAGAACTTGTCGACAAGACTTTGGCATGCAGCCATATTGTTGGCTACACAGATCAAACAAACCGTGATAAAGTTAGAGGACAGTGGTTGGCCGCATTATCTGACGAGAATATCAAATGTTTGGCTATGGGAGCTGTAATCATTCAGCAAGCAAGAGATGCAGTGAAAGAGAAAACAGGTTTTACTTGCACAGCAGGAATTGCTCATAATAAGGTGAATATATAAGATGCAGCAACGAAGCATCTGAGTGTGTTGATATGCATTCATAATTCCAGTAATTTATGGTAAAAAAAATCATCAGGGTTCGTACAAAACTTGAAAATCTTTGAAAGTCTTTGAATTTGGAAACAAATATTCAAGGCGTTCAATTGTTCAAGATATTCAAAGTCGTTAAAACAATACTGTACTTCCATTTCGCTTTAAACAATAGCAAAGGAATAGCAACAATAAACTAATAAAGTCAGATTTGTAAGCTTAGCTATGGAGAAGGAGAAATGTTTATTGGAAATTTCTCTGCTCATTCTAATCTGATTAGTTGATCGTATTGAATCTGTATTGATATCTTTTGACATGAACTTAAAGTATACTGCAACTAAGCTTAGCTTCTTCATCGAATTGACCAAGAGAAAACTGTACAAAAAAAGAAGGCAATAGTTCTAATGCTGTCAAGATAATCTCCTAACAAAAATATCCCTGCATACTCCGCTTACTTTCTCACCACAGCCACTTGTTCTAAAAGATTAAGAAAGCCCTGAGCAATCCTGACTCGTTCTAAATAATTTTCTCCAATTCATACATGTACATATTTTGTAAAAGTATATACTTCTTCTTCTCGAGGTGTTGGCTAAGATTGCAGGTGGAAGTCACAAACCAAATCAACAGACGTTGCTGCCTCAACATTCTGTTCATACGTTTTTTCAAACTACTCCAATAAGAAAAGTGTAAGTTTACTGATGAGAGTTGTTGGTAACTAAAAATTGTCTAAAGATGCTAAGCTATTACTTATTGCAACAGTATAAAATAATTGTTCTCGCACACTGCCGAGGGATGCTACACACGCAAGCCTGATCTTTAATTAGTGAACAAAATATCTTGCATTTAGAATGAATGGAACCGTTCAAATTACTGCATCTCAAATTAATTATCACACGTTAGACCAAATCCAATGCCCCAATGGACCTATTACGTAATGAACAAAATTTTGATCTAGACAATTCTAGACAAAAATTTAATTACAGCTTGAATTTGAAAGAGCATCACAAAATTAGTAATATATCAAATGTTTCGTTGCGAAATGTTGTAGAATGCGGATAATATAGCCCTGCGAAGTTAGCTGTTTTTCAGTCAGTTTTGTATTACGCGCAGGAAATTGATACTTTTTTTTCAGTAAGCGGTATCAATTTCCCGCGCGTAATACAAAATGAAAAATGGCAAACGTCGCAGTACTATATTATCCGCATTTTACAACATTTTGCAACGAAACTTCGGAGTATTACTAATTTTGTGATGCTCTTTCAAGCTGTGATGAATTTTTTCTCTAGACCTGTCGAGATAAAAATTTTGTTCATTAGGTAATAGGTCCATTGTAGTTAGCACTACCGCAACTACATTATAACCTGGGCACTTCCTGCCAGTAGGGTGGCTGGATGGGACACATCACACAAGACAGGCTAGCACGAGGCAAGCAAAAACGTGATTCTGACAAACTGGACCTCACCTTTCGCCTGGTTACATTACATTATTATTCAGCTCGCTACCCATGGGGCTTGTCAGTGGCCCCCAGCAGTGCGTGAGAAAAACATTTTGATGTACTATTTAAAAAACGAGCAGGAGTGTTGTATTAGGTTTAAAGCCACAAGCGCGCAGCACGAGTGGCTTTAGACCTAATAAAACACAGGGCTGCAAATAAATATTTGACTTGACAGGACATTTGTACGATCACTTTTAATTTTGGTCGGACATAACTTGAATTTGGTCGGACAAAAACCAATATCACTAAATTTGGTCGGACATATATACGTTACAAGATATATATAAGTCACGAGACAAGTATGTACAGCCATTCCGACGCAACGTTAAGTAAAATGCTAGAATGCCTTACTGCAGAATGCAAATTTGCAATCGGATTTTGTCACAGCAAAAAAATTTATAATGTGACAATTTTTTTGTGATCGGACCAATGTCCGATCAAAATTACTTTTGCTCGGACATTTGCCAAATTTAGTCGGACATTGTCCGATGTCCGACAGTAATTTGCAGCCCTGAAAACACGACCTGCGAGTTTTTTAAATGGCTTCAAAAACGTTTGCATAATAAGTCAAATCTTTATATAAAAATCTTTATATAAAAATCTTTATATAAAAATCTTTATATAGTTTCCATAACAATGGTCTTTTGTTAAAGTGTTCTTTAGCTGGTATAAAGACGTATGCACGTGACTAATTTCTTACTCAAGATTGGATAATTGCTTCATGAATTATTAATGAATTTTCGATGCCCAGACCACTGATCTAATGATAGACCTGACACATATCTTCTTTTCCAGACGGTTTTTTGGCGGGAAGTTTGGAGAAAGCGTCGTCAGCTCACTTCACGTTGAATATATGTCCGAGCTGACGAAATACTCGCAAGAAGAATTACAACGTATTTTTGGAGAAAAATCTGGGTAATTAGTGAACAATTTGTATATCTGGCGTGTTTGGTGTATGTTTTATTAAGCCTGGTTTCCATATGGTCGTAACGGTCGTAAAGATTGAGTCACGATCTTTCTCATCAGCCAAAATACAACATTTTAGAACTGAAAATACGCGGAGTGATTATAACTAGAGAATACTTATGGTTTGTATGTTGTTTAAAGGTATAAACTATTATAAACTGGCCGTTGAGAAAGATCGTGACTTTTTGCGACCAAGTTTATGGCGACTCCAATAATACAGAGGTTCAGATTTGACTTTCACTACCACTACCTTTCACGCCCTTAGTACGCACCTGATTGGTTAATCGGATATATCAAACGCATCTGATTGGTTAATCGGATATATCAAACGCATTTGATTGGTTAATGATCCCTTAATGGTAGCGATAGTGGAAGTCAAATCTGAACCTCTATTAAAAGCCTTGTTTCCATAGACATGAACACGCTCTGATTGATTGATTGTACCAATGAGCCATTGTACACACGTAAAAACGCACAAGTTGTTACAGGTCTGCAAACAAGTTGTCACAAATCTGTTCACAAGCTGTCGACAAGTTGTCTTCGCACTGCTTGTTCCCAGTTGTTGTAACAAGTTTGGAACAAGCTGTTAACAACTTGTAACAAGCTTGATGGCATTATCAGATTGTAGCAAAGTTGTTCTATAAACAAGTCTGATACAGTCATGATATAACAAGAATGTTACAAGGTTGACGACACAAGGTTGTAATAATATTGTCATATCATGACTGTATCGGACTTGTTGGAACAACCTTGCAACAAGTCTGATAATATCAACAAGGTTGTTAACAGTTTGTTCCAAACTTGTTGACAACTTGGGACACACAGTGCGGAGACAACTTGTTGGCAGACTTGCTACATTATGTGAGAGCAGTGCAGTTGTCAATATGATCCAAGTTTTCTTTCTGTTCGTACCCATAGCACGTGGCTGTATGAGATGTGCCGAGGTCGTGAACACGAACCTGTGCGTCAAAGACAGTTATCCAAGTCATGTGGGTGTGGCAAGAATTTCACTGGAAAATCAAAACTGATCTCTAAGGAGAAAGTTCGTTACTGGATATTGCAGCTGGCCAGTGAACTCAGCGACAGACTGAAGATAGAAGAGGAAAAAGTATGATAAGAGTAAAACCAGCTTTTTATAGCTCAAACGTAAAAGTTTATTGTATGTAATATAATCTACAATTACTCATGGTTTTCATTCATCTATCGAAAAATTGAAATGAAAAAAAATTGAAATACTGGTTACTAATAGGCTATATATTCTTGATATAGAATAACCGAACTGCAAAGTTGGTATCTGTCGGCTTGAGAACGGAAACAAACACTTCTGTTATGCGATCATTTCCCTTGAGGAGTTTGGACCCAGAAACTATATGTGACAATGCTATGCAAGTCATAAAGACGTTCAATTCTGGCACTGCAGATAAATGGTTGGTGCATGTTACTCTCATTTTTTTATCACTTGTTTTTCTGCGTGCAACTAGACAACAACAGGCTGTTGCTAAGTCAATGTCAGGATGTGAATGATGAGCATTTAGAGATGCCAAAAAAGGGCACTACTACGGGAATCTGGGGGCATGCTCCCCCCTGAAAATTTTGAAAATAAGGTGTCTCAGATTGGCTAAAATGCATTTGCATGCATACAACATTCGTTACATCATTCTACAGTCTATACATTAGCACACTATTAATTGCTCCGTTAATCTGAAATTTTACCATTATCGTTTTGTCTTATTTATTATTTAAATATTTTCTGGGAACTCAAACAATATTCTCTGGTACAAACGGTCCCGTGGTCCGACACATTTTCTACCCCTGCCAGTGCCTTTCATAGCAAACGCCTTTCACCTCTGAGATTCGCGCTGCGGACTCGTGACGCTGCTCAACAGGACTGAACAATGTTTTGCTGCCCACGTTGTTCACACTTGTCAACAGTATTGAACAATGTTGTTGGGCCTGAATCGCGTGTAACAATATTGTTCAGTATTGTTGACAAGTGTGAACAATGTTGGCAGCAAAACATTGTTCAATCCAGTTTTCACCAATATTGCATCAACCTGAGCGTTTTTACGCGTGTAGGCTAAGTATGATTAGCGTAATACTTGATGTAAAGCGCATTTGATGATCATACCCACATGAAAATTCGCTCTAAAGAAATGCTAATTGTAATCGACTAATCGTAATCCCTATCAACCGAAGGTTTGGGTTGAGATTATTTAGCCCCTACCTGACCCTCCCACTGTTGCTACGCTCCATTCGCATAACTCCACCCGTCTTGTTTTAGGCTGGCGAACGGCGAATTTCGCCAGCGTTAAGGAGACATTTGGTAGCCATTCGCCAGAGGCTGTGTGTAATTCGCCGGTACTTGCAGTCATGACAAGCTGAAATTTTTAGCCCAGTCTTGCACTAGGACAGTATACCAAATAGACAATTAAAGCTTGCAAGTCTAACTCATGCAACTTACAGTGCCCTTGAAACTTCGACCTTCCATTCTTTGCATACTTGCTTCGCTCATCAATTAATAGCCGGAGCCTCAGTAGATCGAAACAGTATTGGTTATACCCAAATTATTATTAGCCAGGACTTCAAACGGATACCTGAAGGGCTGTAACCCGCCCCTAATGTTGTTTGAATCAATCACTCTCTTAAATGAGGCACTGTATAAGCTATCGAAAGTCGGGCAGTAACAGAAGCTATAGAGTAATTATTCATTTTCTCTCCAATCGTTTGTAGGAAGCCAGGTATAACATCGCTCTCTTTGAATGCAAGCAAATTTGAAGAGATTTCAAAATCTTCAGGAGCCTCGTCTATTGCTTCGTTTTTCGCAAAGAAACAAAGCGAAGATGGGGGAATACAGAAACAGCCAAGTTCTGAACAAACTGATGAAATTAAAGCGCCCTCAAATCCTTGCCCAGATGTCACCAGCGCGGATAATCTCGAACCAACAGACCACTCTTACGTACGGGACGAAATCGACCAATCCATTATGAACGAACTACCCGACAACATTCGAAACGAGATTCAACAATTTCTTGGAGTTCCCAAAAATCCCGAACGAATCAAACGAACTTCGAATGGAATAGAAAAATACACAGTTTCTCGAAATACAGATGAAGAAAAAATGACACAAACGCGTAGCATTACTGGAAATACAACAGACAATACAACGTGTACAAAAACAAACGATAACATCGGAAATACGAAAACCGATTTAAAAACATCGGATAACGCTAGTTTTATTCGCTGTTCGAAATGTGGGCAGCAGATAGCAAAATCGAAGATGGACGAGCACACAGATTTCCATTTTGCTTTGGATTTACAGAAACGTGGTGGAACTACGCTCGATAGCTTGCGGGCAGACGAACCTCCGAAGAAACGGCAAAAAGGAACAATTTCAAAGTTTTTTGTTCCAAAAGGAAGGTGATATATACATATTGTCGTATGAATTTTGGAAACACGAAGGTAATTCTAAAATGATTTATTGATAACTGTCACTGTGTCAGTCGGAATTAATGTTTGGTACTCTTGTGGAACGATTAGATATAGACTGGGTAAACCAGGCCAGCCATTTCCATGTAATCGACCCCTTAGAGTCAATAGAAGCAATCAATTTCATCTACACAAAATCTAGACCTTTTTATTTTATTTTGCGTCCAGAAACAAACCTACTACATATCAGTTTGTCATTCTGGTGCTTTGAAATAAGTCACTAGGCATGGAAGTTCATACGCCGGTTACTGTAAAAAAACTGTAGGGAACTGGATTTCATAGTTCAAGAAGATTGACAAGATTGTAATTGCTGCTTGAACAACCTTTCGTTTGCAATTATACTTTAATCTATCACTAGGAAAATAATGCAATCTAGTTTTGCTGAATTGAATCGTGTTCTCTCCTCACATTTCACCCGGCAAAGCGGGGTAATGTAAAATTTAGCCAATTTGCTGCAAATCAGGCCCCCCATAAAATTGAGGGCCTGCCACGCAGGCTACCCGAAGATTGGAGGGGTGTGTGTATGTAGACACAATATTATATCTACTTAATATCTACTTAAAGTATCTATATGTATATACTAAAAATGCGGGCTCACATTAAAATGAAATTACAAAATATTTGAAAAAGAAGTGAAATTTTACTTTCTTTTCAATTTCGAAAGCTTTTCTAATCAACACTCCTCTCTGATTGACCACATTTATTTAAAAAGATGAATTATCTGTCGGTTTATGCTGAGAAAACAAACAACAGCCAGAATGTAAAGCTGCTGTTCAGCTTAAACGATAGGAAATTTAACATGTCTAGAGTTGCAACTGAACCAGTTGGCAAAACACTGAAACGAATCGGTATATCTGTGGAGAAAGCAAACACGAAGGGGCAAGATGGTACAAAGATGAGAGGTAAAAAGCAAGAAGTCTTAAATAATATTCCTGTGGCATTATTTTGGGCAAACGGTGAGGCGATGGACAATGAATTAACTAATGAAGATGCTTGGAAAGAAGGGAATGTTTTAAATATTTGTGAATCAAAATTTCTAGTTGAAGAAAACACTCCTATTGTTCACAGTGCTAGGGTCCCCTCGGTAATTATGGCCGGTTTCCCTGTTGTTCCAACGGTAAAGCTCGAATATGCTGACAAAGAGAACTCGCAGTTTAAATGGTTCAAACAAGCACACCCTAGCAAACCGACAGTTGGGGAAGCTACGTCAATGCCGAGTGAAGTTGAAAATGAAAGTGAAACAAGCTGGATTGAGATTGGTCAGGAGTTTATTTATATACCCAATGTTAGCGATATTGGTTGTGTTTTAAAAATGTCATGCAAAGCTGCAAGCATAGAGAAAGTTGCTCATGAATGGTTTGACGTAACTGCAGTATCCGACGTAGCAGCTGGACCGGGTGTGACCCCTTTTGATACACGCCACCTGTATACTGCCAAACCCACCTCGGGTAGTTCTGTGTTTCGTGTCATTTCCTACAATATCCTTGCAGATTGCTACCTTGAAGATGATACCACTTGTCAGATGTGGTTCGGTTACTGCCCCAAGTACGCCCTGGGGATCGATTATCGACAACAACTGTTGCTGAAAGAAATAGTTGGTTACCATGGTGATATAGTCTGTTTACAAGAATGTGGCCGTCGTTTGTTTGATCATTACTTGAGTCCAATGATGGCATCCCGAGGCTATACGGGGGTCGTTAAGTACAAAACTGGAGTCATGCCCGAGGGGGAAGCCATTTTCTTCAACAATTCAAATTTTACATTGATTTCTCAACACAATTTTGAACTTAAAGATTCCTTAACGAACGACATCTGCAATAACGAGCTTCTCAAGAAAGTCCGAGCAGTTCCGGAGGTTTACGAAAAGCTAATGAGCCGTACAACTGTTGCTCAAATTATTGTCCTTCGCTGTGCTGAACGCCCTGAAGATTATATTTGTGTCGTTAATACACATTTATATTTCCGACCTAATGCGTCATTTATTAGAAACCTACAGACAATGATTGTCCTTAACATGCTGAAGAAATCAATTGATAGCTTAGATTTTGAGTTGAGAGAGAAACATGGTAACAGTCACCAAATAGGTGTAGTGTTTTGTGGTGATTTCAACAGTTTACCCGGATCTGGTGTCGTCCAGTTGCTGTCTGATGGTATGTTGGCAAGTTGTCACCCAGACTGGAATCTACCTGTGGAAAAACCAGAACAGACTACGACCTGTTTACAAATGCCATCTTATAGTCAAGAATTTGGTTTTCAAAACTGTTGCGGTTTTCCAGAATTTACTGCATACACAGAAGGCTTTTCTGGCGTTATTGATTACATATTTGCAAGCAAGAAATATTTCGAAGCAGAATCTGTCATTCCTGTGCCTTCAAAGGAAGAAGTTCAGCTTTATACTGCAATTCCATCACCAGTCATGCCGTCTGATCATATTGCCTTAATTTGTGAATTAAAATGGAAGTGACAGGCATCTATTGTCACATGTAGTTATATTTGGTACATTTTGCACAATATTGGTACATTTTGCACAATTTGGTATCATGTAGTTGACAAATTTACTAGAATACGGTGGCAACAGGGCCGTATTAACCACGTGGCAGATGCGGCATATGCCGCAGGCCTCGCGCTTATGAGGGCCTCGCGTTTTACTGTGCCACGCCTATTTTTACGAGAACACGTCCATTTTCTATTGGGACACGCCCATTTTGGATGCCTCGCGAATTTAGGGACCTCGCGCATTTAGGGCCCCTAGGTTTTCATGTTGAGAGGGGAGGGGGTTGGGGGCCTCGCGCTGAAAATCTGCCACGGGCCTCGCACGACGTTAATCCGGCCCTGGGTGGCAAAGCTAAAAGTGGCAAAGCTAATAAACAGGCATTTTGAAATTAACCCATTAAGCTGCAGAGCTTCCCTATTGATGAGTAAAATCGTCTGGTGTTAGACAAGTAAAAAATATAAGTAGGGCGTGCGAACTGGGGTGCACTGCAGCTCAATGCATGGATTAAAGTTTAAAGACAAACAATCCTGAACAGTTGTATTTTTACTTCAAAAGTTTTAGTTCAAACGTAGAAGTTTTACATGTAAAGACAAATAATGCATTTCTATTAAGGGCATAGAGAATGTTAATAATTAAAAATTGGCATAACATGACCAATCTGCTATATATTGGCTAGTTCCACCGCTGTTAGAATTGCTGCTAGTCAGAATACTAATAAAACTTTATTTTGGGGGCTTGAAAAATATAGTAATGCTTTGGTATTTATGTTAGTGAATTGCTTGCAAAGTGAAATAAACAATTGAATGCACTATATGCAAATAATTGTATTTTGTTGATAAAAGGCAAGACAAACATGCTTGTTTACAAAGTAGTTTTGACAAAAAAATTCTATAAATTACGTTGGTTATTGTGCTTTTTTCTCGTACTGAGACCAGATGAGGAACCTCCAGACTTTTGTCTTTGATGAGGACAAAGGAGAGGGGAGACTATCTCCAGTGTGTATGTAAGTGGATCTGATCCACCACCCACTATCACCTTTGTCGGAGGTATATCTGACTTGCCACATTTCAGATTTATTATCATCTGTCTCCCAATCCCACCCTGTTGAATTGCTCGATACGTAACTGTCACTGGTGAATTCTCGTTGATAAACGGACTGAAGGCTTCAATTTCATCATTTGCAACAGCGAAAAACACGTTTCCTCCCTTTTGACACATAGTGACGTCTTTGCAATCTGATTTCGGCATGGTAAACGCATAACAAGGATTAATATAGTAGGTCCAGTAAGTTCCTGAAACAACATAGTAAGTGCCAGGTTCCTTGAGTGCTTCCATTGATATTTCATACGTTCCAGATTGATTAGTAAATTGACATCCACAACCTACTTGGTGGCATTTTGCTCCGTCGCCAGTGACGAACATAATGAATGAAAAACACAAGGTAATCAAGAGAACGCTTGATAATTTGGAGCTGATTATTAATGCCATGTGCATAACTGTAATTTCCTTACTGCAAGAACCAATAGTCAATCACATCCACGGCCACAAATGCGTTGGTTTCGGCTTCGACGACCACGCCATAGATTAAGAAATGAATAGATGGCTCACTCCTTTGAAGTTTTTGATGCCTCCGACAGGTGCGACTTCCGGTTGGCCGCCATTACTCTGGCCAGTAAAGTGCAGCCAGAACGAATGGAAAATGTATTGTGAAATTGGCATCGCGCGCATAAAAACTTCATTTTTACCGGTTTTGGACACCTGAATTCAACGTTTACGGTCGAAAATCAAAATTAGAAAGGTAAGAAAGTATTATTATCTGTTTTTATTAGCCCTGAAAGTGTTTTTTAAGTCAAATTTTGTGCTCTTAAATATGGCTAGTTCGGCCAGCCAGACATAAAAGAACATAGCTTTTCGTCCCATTTGCTGTATGTTTTCATTGGAAAGTATCATTAATATTACTTGAAACGAAATTTATAAACTACGAAAGTTACAATCCATGTACACTTTGACAATTCATGAACTCATTATTGCAATAGATATACAGTATCTCTGATGTATATTACAGTGTCAGTATATATGTCTTCATCACCATTTCTCTGCCAAGTTTAATAAACATGTCTTTGTAAGTTCACTGTTTTCTTGAATTAGATATTTATCTACTAAATTTTGCCCAACTTATTCAGATGCAGCCCAGATAGTATCAAACTATGTAGAATATAGTTTATAAACTGAGCACTATATGCAGGCTAGTTTATAGATGGCTAACTTTAATGTACTTTCTGCTCTTTCTTCCTTTTTTAGTTGGAGTTGCCAGTCTTCTGTTTTCGAACTTGATGGTGTAATATATATGCATCCGGAGAAAAAGCTTTAACATGTAGTCCATAGGAAACTCTGGGCAAGAATGGAATGTGATGGACACACTTTGGAGGCTCTTTAGCAAATTAGCACCAACTAATTTGGACCTGTTATATGCTGAGAATTGCTGCACAAAAACATCTTCTAGATGCAGAACAAAATCAAGGAAGTGCTGGGATGGTAAGATTAATCCTTGGGACTGTGTGCTCTCATTGTAGTTCTTATAATAACAGTACAACAAATTTGCAGAATCTGCAGTTTGGGACATGGTGGCGTCTTTGCACAAAGAGCATTTGTGAACAGTGAAGCACTTCTTGAGAAGGTATCCGGCAACATATGCAACAGCATTTTGTTGGACGATGCTGGAACTGACTTCTTTCTCTCTGTAGTCTGTTTCTCCTAGTACCAATGTTTGTGGTTGACGACCTGGTCTCACCAATGCTGCATTGTTAGAGCGGTTTGAAACTTGGGAAAGGAGTGAATCCAAATCTTCTGCACAGTTACCATTGCCGGAGGTGAAAAGGGAACTGAAAAGAAGTTTCCTAAAGGCCCTAGTGAACTGTATTGGTGTAGGGTTGTCACTATTCCCTCCCTGTTGCCTTATTGTACCAAAAAAGTTTTCAATTGGATCTGTGTTCAACCTACGTGTGAATAAGAACTTGAAGTTGCGATGCTTGTTAAGATGATTCCAGATTAAAATGATTGCATTAATTGTGACAAGCCATCCTTTAATGCATTTAATTCTACCTGTTACATCAGTGTTGCCTTGAAATACTTGTAAACTTTTAATGAAATCTATCATGTCCTTAACGAAGTTGACATGATTCGATGTTTCTGTGATAGGTTTCTTGATTTGCTTAGGTGAGTAGAGTTTGGAACTGTTGACACTGTCAAATAAGCTATCAAATTTAAGAATGAGATGTGCTGTACCCATTGCAGTTTGTGGCAAGACACCTAAACTGATGTATGTGCATAATGAGGCTGCAACTGTGTTGCTTAAAACTTGTGTGGCATACTTAACCTTCATCTTGTTGAAGTTGTTTGGGTGAATATGTTTATTTGTCAGTTTGTGTGCAGATCTGATTTGTAGTGACTTATCTTTGTTGTAAAATGCCTCAATATCTTTCCAGCTTGCAACAAGTTTCCCAAACTTAAATGTATATTTCATGAGGTTAGTTCTGATGCACTTAATTAAATGTGGTGGATCAAACATCAAGAAGTAGATTTTGTTTTTGTGGGTGAACCAAGGCTTCTCAGGAGTGATACCAAGATGCAGAGCCAAGCTGTAGAAATTCGAACCCATATCAGACATCACAACAAGTACTCGCAAACCAATGGCATCAAGCTTCTCAATTGCTTTGCGAATAAGCCCATCAAGGAAATCAGTTGGACAGGAACCATTTACCAAAGCATAACCGATTGGCTGTTTCCAGTTTCCAGATATGCTTCGAATTAAAAGAACAAGGGTAGATGTGGCAATTTTGTTGCTTCGCACACCAATTCCAAAATCCTCCAATCCAGTGATGATGTCATCAGGCACATTGTAGTATAGGTGATTTTTCAACGAAATTTCGTCAATGCACAAGGAACAAATCTTTTCCATTTCATTCATGTGTTGGACCTTCTGTTGGATTGCCTTCAGGATTGCTTCAGAAATTCCAGCTACTGTTGGAAGTTTTGAAATGTATCTTTTTAAAGATGCCTTGTTTGGTAAGACAAAGATCTTGGAAAGAAGTCGGTATGCTTTGCCACTTGCGTGGTATAAGGACAGCGCCATCGTTTTCAACTCTGGTGAATATCTTCGCCCATGACTCTTTTTTGAATGGAGTTTTATTTGCTCCCGTATAAAGTTTGCTACATTTTCTGGTAGTTGTGCCAATTCTTCTTTTAGGGTGCTTTCACTTTTTTTTATTTTCTTTGGTTTTAATTGCATTTTCATCCTGTAAATCTTGTTATTCTTTCTTTTTATAGAATTTCGAAGCTTCTTTTTCCTGGGAGTGTTGATGGTAAGATCTGGGGTTGTCTGGCTTGTGGACTCTACAGTGTTTGGGCTAAGCACCATCTCCTGAGATTCTATATTACAATAAAAATACTGTAGTTGTGGTATTGTTGTTCCATGCATGCAGAAACTGATAATGCATACACACTAAATTTATTATGCAAAAGAAGGGTTACCTTCAACTGTTTCAAAAGACAGACTTTGGTTTTGCGTTTCGTTTTCTGCATCTTGTAAATCATTCGCTATTTTAAAAGTTGTATCCCGTTATTTAATATAAAAATTAAAAAAATTGTACTTTAATTTTGAATGTAATAGTACGATATTTAAATGATATCACTTACATTTCAATGTGGGTTCCGTGTCCTTGATTACCTTTCTCCTTTTTTCTAAACAAGATTTTGCAATTTATTTAGAAAACAGCAGGCACAGATTTTTTTTTTGGTGGGGGGGGTGCACACCCCCCTCCCCCTCCCCAAAGGCATTTGGCACCCCCGCAAATTACATATATTTTGATTTGATAGTTTCATATTTGATTGTTCTTACTACTATCGTAAAATTACCAATATTATGGTCTCAGGTCTCGCCATGCAGGCCTACAAAACAAGTTTTGTTAAACTTTTTCCTTGGCCTTTCCGGGCGTTGCCACCACGCCCCGGCCAAAGCAAGCAGCAGCACCCCCTAGATATGTATCCACCCCCCCCCCCAACGAAAATATGAAAATCTGTCTCTGGAAAACAGTTTCCTACGATATCTTGGCTATTCCTAGGATTATTACGTTATTTTAAGATTACTTTCTTGCCTATTCGTAAAGCTTAAATATATTAAAAGAGGAAAAAAAATGGGAAATATTACGTACCTCTGGATCCATCTGCATGAACTTCTCTGTTGATCAATCGCCGTTTACGACCAATCGTAGGGGGGGGGGGGAGACATTCGCTATGTTGAAAATGCTTGGCCTTGCTTTTGAAGTCAAACGATTTTTTGTTGTGGAGTTAACAAACATGCAATCTTCAAAATGCTCAGAGCATAATCTGCAATTGACGTACAAATACTTCGACGTTTTGTTCAAGAGATCTTGACGTCGACATGCAACAACCCATTCTTTAGATCTACGTATCAAAAAAATGTAAACGTTTTTGCTGTTCATAAACAGAGACCAAGTCGGATCCTTAAAAGCTAATAAAGAATTGCGAATATCCTTTGTCTTAAGCAGAGAAAGTCACACGATAAACATGTTTGAATAAGTAGTGTAAATACAGTTTATATTACCTTTGTTGATCGGATAGAAAACGAAAGAAACTCAAGTCTGGCCGTGAACCTTTGCTATTGGAACAGTTACAAGCAGAGCAGTATGTTCTTGTTCCCCCAGGTTTAAGTATTTTAGAATTTGACATAGCAATTATCGCTTAAATTTTCAAAAATATACGCATTAAGTGTAGCAATTTGACTTCTTTCATGAGGGTGGACTCTCATTCATACAAACGCACGTGGATTAGGAGGAAAAGGTCAAGGGTCAAATGTAAGAAGGGCATGTTAGATGTGTTTTAAACAGGGCGCTTTTTCTTGCATTTTAATTGAAAGTCATAGTTTTCTCAAATATGTTTAATTTAATTTAATTTACAAAATAGGTATTAAGTGAGTTCAGTAATTATAAAAAGAGAAATCTATTTTGCACTGTTTTTGACAATTTTGCCTGTTCTGCAAAACACAGATATACACACACAAATTGTTTGGAAAAATATAAAAATATATAAATATGTTTATTGGCATATAAAACATTGTCACACTCAGTTTTCACTGCAAATAATTTCCATTCACAACACTAATATTCCTTAACCATCATTGTTTGAGCAAATAACATCCATGAAGATTTAGTTTATAAAGAAATCACATCATCCAAAATTTGTATACAATGACATGTACAGTAATAATTCTAATAAAAGCCAGGACTAGAACTCTGATTGTCATCACAGCCATTTCCTTTCTGTCAAATGTTTTTGTGTATAACAGGTCCAAATTAGTTGGTGCTAATTTGCTAAAGAGCCTCCAAAGTGTGTCCATCACATTCCATTGTTGCCCAGAGTTTCCCATGGACTACATGTTAAAGCTTTTTCTCTGGATGCGTATATATGACACCATCAAGTTCGAAACCAGAAAACTGACAACTTCAACTAAAAAAGAAAGAATGAGCAGAAAGTACATTAAAGTTAGCCATCTATAAACTAGCCTGCATATAGCAGTTTATAAACTATATTCTACATAGTTTGAAACCATCTGGGCTGTATCTGAATAAGCTGGGCAAAATTTAGTAGATAAATATGTAATTCACGAAAACAGTGAACTTAAAAAGACATGTTTATTAAACTTGGCAGAGAAATGGTGATGAAAAGACATATATACTGACACTGTAATATACATCAGAGATACTGTATATCTATTGCAAGAATGAGTTCATGAATTGTCAAAGTGTACATGGATTGTAACTTTCATAGTTTATAAATTTCGTTTCAAGTAATATTAATGTTACTTTCGAATGAAAACATACAGCAAATGGGACGAAAAGCTATGTTCTTTTATGTCTGGCTGGCCGAACTAGCCATATTTAAGAGCACAAAATTTGACTTAAAAAACACTTTCAGGGCTAATAAAAACAGATAATAATACTTTCTTACCTTTCTAATTTTGATTTTCGACCGTAAACGTTGAATTCAGGTGTCCAAAACCGGTAAAAATGAAGTTTTTATGCGCGCGATGCCAATTTCACAATACATTTTCCATTCGTTCTGGCTGCACTTTACTGGCCAGAGTAATGGCGGCCAACCGGAAGTCGCACCTGTCGGAGGCATCAAAA